GCAGACACATGTAATCTTTTAATTGTTGTTGTATCGGATGATGTCAAAGATAAGTCACGATTCTTGTTTCTTGAATGTCGATGTCTCATTAACAGATAATCTTCACTGTCGCCAACAGTAGTCTCTGTTAAAATTTTATCAATTAGAACATCGTAACATGAATTAACAATTTTATGCTTTGTCATAACTTTTTGTACTAATAAGATAAAGATTTGATATTTCTTTCCTAATTGTATCACTAGCGCGCATAGTGTATCCATTGCTGTATTTCGTAACTCTGGACACTGGTCCAAAGTTCGTACCAGAGGATGTACAATTCTAGATGCAAAATCTGTGAAATCCAATGTATCTGCTAAATTATCAACAGTTTCAAGTGCCACTCTGTTTACAGTTATTGGACAATCATTGGTGTGGAATAATTTTACAATTGGTGGTAAAACTAAATGAAGATAATTATCCAGATTATTTCCAAATTTTTGAAGTGCTTGGAGAAGTTTCACTGTAACTGATCTATCTTTGCTTGTATCATGTGTTAACACTCTTAATATTTGTGGCATTAATTGTGGCAAGTAAATTTTAAACTCTGCACCTAGTGCAACAGCAATATGCTCGACTAAAAGTATCAGCGTGCTTTGTAATGGACTATTTACAGTCCAAAATTCTTTAATTAAATTAAATATATCATCCAAATAATTTCTAATATGCTGCTTCACAATGGCAATAAGAATGGCCAGTTGTTGAAACAGATATTCGCGAAAATTAACGTCTGCCGTACGAACCACATTAAGAAAACTAGGCATCACTTGAGAGATATATGGAACACATTTAATCCCTAAACTCTTAAATATAAAAGTTACAGCTTGAACTACCATAGTATGATGTTGTGATAACGTCGGATCACGAATAATTCTCATAAGTGTTGCAATTGCAATGGCTGGATAGTATTCTTCTAAAGTTGATGAGGACATATTTACTAACATTTCGCTAGTAGTTAAATCTTGTGTATTTTCAGTTTCACTTTTAGTATCAGCCATAGAAGTGAGGGTATCCAATTGAGAGTCAATTTGACCAAGGTTCATCTTATGCTTATATGGATCCAAAGCACCTAATAATCCAAGAACTCTTATAGTTTCTCTTCTAATAATTGGTTGTTGTTCTGTTTTTAAGAAATTTATCAATACATCTAGTAGACTAGGATATTGCATGTATGGTTTAACAACATGTCCTGTACTTCCTACCAATTGTCCAAGAACCCATAAAGCAACTCCTCTTTTTTCTGGAGAACTTGCATCAACTAACATCTCAAGTAATATAGAAAGAAGCTCAGGCATCCATTGTTGCATTTCAGCGCCATTAACTTCAGCTAGATCACCAATAGCACGTAATATAGCTAAGATTACACCAGGATTCGACTCAGATTCTGTTAACTTTGGAACAAGAACTTTTAAAATGGGTTCCATGTATGGTCGGATAAGTCTTGGTGCACTGACAACTAAATGATCCAACATTCGTGTAGCTTGTTCTTTGTTACGACCCATACCTGAATGTTCCAATTCTGTTAAAAATTGTATAAGCGTTTTACGAAGAGAAGGCATAACGTATGCTGGATTCATTGTACTTAATCGTCCGATTGTGCGAATTGCTAATTCTCTTATCTCAAACATTTCATCATTCATTGCAATAAATAATGCAGAAAGATTTTCTGCTTGTGCCAAATGAATATCAAAGGAATCATCTAAAGAAGCTAATACCCACAGTCTTACATCAGGATCTGTGTCTGTTATGCCTACAACTAATAGTTTTCCCAAAACAGTAGAAACAGTATTAGTCACTGTAGGTCCAGGTTGATTTAATGCTAATCGTAATAATCTTGAGCATGTTCTTACAGCCTCTAATCGAACCTCTGCTTGTTCTGATGTAAGAAAATGATCAGCACATTGTCTCACAAACTGCAAAAGTGGATTACCATCGAAGTTAAATGTTCCAAGAGTCTTCAATGCTAAAACTGTAGATGGTATATCCACTTCTGTAGGAGGACCAGAAATAGGACTAGTTGCAGTCCATGGTGCACCAGGATGTCTTAAAGGCTTTTGCATCAAAACTTGAGACAACATCCGCAAAAGTCCTTGAGATATATCAGGTTTCAATGAAGGAACGCTATGAGCTAGTTCCCTGAGAGATGTTGTAAGTATGGGGCTTAATCCAGTCTGTAACATAGATTCTAACAAATCTCTCACATCTGCAGCTATAACTTGTTTTACTGCATGTCCAAGTAAAGTTATACAAATGAATACTGCAGGCTCCAAAGATGCTCCCCGTTTTTTAGTAGACATCTCCTTAGAAGGTAACAAACTCTTGATTACTTCCATAATTTTAGAAAGATAAGAATTTATGGAGTCTTCTACCGCAACTGCTATAAATCCAATAGTGGTAAATGCAGCATATCTGTCCTTTTCTCTACTTCGTAAAGTCATTAAAAGATATGCCAATGATTCTCTCAAGTGATCTTTTGTAAATTTTTCTTTATTAAATGCTGCAAGCCTAGGCAACAACATCATAAGAGCATGTTGAATATGTGGATTTCTAGACATTCTCTGATTCATTACATCATTATATATGTCATCTAATTTTTCTTGCATTAAACAACGACATACTGCAGATTCATGTGCTGGATATAATGCTTGTTGTGAATTAGGAGAATTTTGAGAAGAGCTGGACCATTTAGACACTATTGTCGTTTTTAATCGTGGCATTAATGATAATATATCATTTTCATTTTGTTGAGTGGAACAATTTAATCGTTCCATTAAAGCTTCATAATTCTTCTCCCACTGAATGTTACTACATCTTAACAATTCATTTAATATTAACAGTGAACCATGTATTCTATCATCTTTATTTACTCCTCTTTCTCTACTATATACTTCTTCAAATCCTGCTACTATTTCATCATAACACTGTTTATACCATTGTGACTTATGCATCTGTTTTGTTGTTTCTCTTTGTGCAGTAACAACTAAAGCAGCCCTTAATGCTTCGACAGCACCTTCTCTTATCACAGGTTTTGGATCACATATTGCATTAAATATGAGTTCAAAAAATGGTGTTACTTGTTGAAAAAAATATGTTGGCATAGAAACAGCTAGTTCTCTTAAAACAAGAACAGCAGCATGTCTTTTACCTTCATGCCTATCACCACCAAGCCATTCAAAGGCACGTTTTACTTCGAATTCTACATATTCTGCTGTATAAGTACCTGAAACTAATGCTAGTTTACCAACTGTTTTAGCAGCTAACTCCATAACGCCCACATCATTAGAAGGTAATAAATTTCTCAAATAATTTGCAAATCTTATAGTTCTTGTGTTAATGTTTCCTACATCAGCTCCAATAAGGCAAACTATAGCTAAGATTCCTCCTTTTTTTTCATTTACATCTGACCCAGATACCATTTCAAATATATGGTGATTAAATTCATCCATAAAAGCTGTAATTTCTTCCTGTGATGCTTCACGTAGCTCTGTTTTAACATAGAGACATAAATCTCTAGCTGCTTTATTACGTACTTCTTCATTTCTAGATTTGAGTCTATGAACAAATTGTTGTACAAGTGTACTTGACATTATTAAAAATTTATCAATGTCAATTATACAATATTATTTTTATAAGTTTTCTTGTAATGATATCTAAAATAAATATAACATTTTTAAAAACATAACAAAATTGTGGAAAAATGTAAATTGGCGTTAATTTTTACATACCTATTTGACATCACACAAATTTTATATTATTATATACCATTTCCGTGATTGTCATTGTTTTTTTAATTTTTTTAATGATTAAAGATTCAATGTGTTTTTAATCATATTATTATAATACGTCTGTCATATAAATTCTTCATGTTTTGATACTCGCCAATTACGAGTCAAATAAATTACTAATCAGGATCTGTGTGTCGTGTACACACAAATAACTGAATTAGTGTAGTGCCATTAATTCAATGAATGTATAGTAAATATAGAAAAATAATGGTGGTACGTTCTTAGAAAGAACTATATTAAGTTTATAACCTCTACATTGGTTAACACGAGATGCTCAACTAAATTGTGCGCTTTGGAACGTTTCCCCCACTCCTTTTGATTAGGTATGGGATCACATCTACTATTTCTAATTCAAACCTAGTTTATAGTCTTATAACTAGAAGTAATAAAAATAAAAGACAAATAGGTTTTTAAATTATTCAAAACATTCTGAAACGAAAATAAATATTACAAGCACCCAAGTACAAAATCAATTTCATTTCCTGCTAATTTTGACTCTACTTTTATATATGCTATATCACATAAACAAAATAAATAGCATCGCAAATGTACTTTCATGTATCATATATCTCAATTAAATATATTTTATGATAATGTTTGTTACTTTAATGAGCTACAGTTTAAGGTTATAATCTTTTAAACTTTGTATAATCAATTTTGAAATTTAAAATCAAATTTGTATTAAATAAATAATGTATTATCAACAACACAATTTGTATTTATTTACACTTCCTATATTAATTGTGTGTGTATTGCAACATATAAAATAATTCGCAATATACTGATAATTATACTAATGTTAAAAGTAAATAATATGTCGGATTCTCTCACACAAAAGTTATTTTCGCATCAAATTATAATGCTTGTTACATAGTTCATTCACTATCAATTTAATCACGTGACTAAAAGATTATTTCTTTTTTTAATTTATTCAGCTGATCCGAAACTAATTACGAAATTAAAACATATTACAAACAAATAATTATTAACATCAAATTAAATTCAAATTTATAAATATGTATTGAAAAATAATATAAATATAATTTATAACATTAATATATTAATGTATTCAATTGATGTAATATTAATTTTGAAAGTGTTATAACCTTTTCGAGTTATTAATGATGAAGCAAAAGTTTTAATGACTTCGTTTTGTGGCTTGCTTTGATCGTAGTGGTATTCAAAAAATGGCACTTATTTGGAGGTTATTTACAAAAAATAACAATTTCCAAAAAATAAAATTTCACAAACCAGTTATCACATATAAACAGTTATTTTCTACACGTATAACGCCGTCAATTAGAATTAATAGAAATATCTGTATACTTTCCGCTTTAAAATGTCACCGAACGAATACTTTAGAAACAAAAAATTTAAAACCCATTGTACGATTTACCACAAAAAAGAAAAAAGCATCAGAAATAAAAAATTTGCTTGTATTAGCAGCACCTGAAAAATGGAGGTTATTTGGTGCTATTACTTTTCTATTAATTTCCTCTACTATAACAATGGCTGTACCATTTTGTTTAGGAAAATTAATTGATATTATTTATACAAATGACAAGAAAGATACAAAGAAAAATCTTAATCAATTTTGTATTATTTTGTTTGGAATATTTGTTATTGGAAGTTTATGTAATTTCTGCAGAGTATATTTAATGTCTACTGCTGGACATAGAATTACACAATCTTTAAGAAAACAATTGTATGCTGTTATTCTTCGCCAAGAAATAGCAATGTTTGATAGATGTAATACAGGAGAATTTGTTGGTCGATTGTCTGGTATAAATAGAAATTTTAACCAATTCCATTACGTAAATTCCACTCTTTCACATCCTTTATTAATTTCAGGAGACACACAACTTGTTAGCCATGCATTGACGAGCAATATATCGGATGGATTGCGTTCTGCCTCCATGAGTATTTGTGGAATATCTATGATGCTGTATGCCTCACCTAAATTAGCTATAATTGGTTTAATTATTGTACCACCAGTTGCTGCAGTTGCCATAGTGTGTGGTCGTCTTTTAAAGAAAATTTCTAGAGACATACAAAATAATTTAGCAACTCTGAATACAATTGCAGAAGAAAGAATTAGTAATATAAGGACAGTAAAAGCATTTTCAAAAGAAATAAATGAAGCCAATTATTACAATACCCAATTAGATAATATGCTTAAAGTTTGTTATAAGGAAAGTTTATACAGAGGAATATTTTTTGGATTTACTGGGTTCTCTGGAAATATGATCATTTTATCTGTTTTGTATTATGGTGGAGCTATGGTTTCTGATTCTTCTCTTACGATTGGGAGTTTAAGTGCATTCTTAATATATGCAGCATATGTTACAATTTCTTTAAATGGATTATCTTCATTTTATAGTGAATTAAATAAAGCATTGGGAGCAAATATACGTTTAGTTGAATTGATTGACAGAGAATCAGCAATACCAATTGACAGTGGTAAGATTCTGAAAAAACAACTTTCAGGTGATATTGAATTTCAGAATGTCAGTTTTGCTTATTCTACAAGAGAAAATACATGGGTTTTGAAAAATTTCAGTTTAAAAATTCCATCAAATACTGTAGTTGCTATTGTTGGAGCATCAGGTTCTGGAAAGTCTACAATAGCTTCACTCTTATTAAGACTTTATGATCCCAATTCGGGATCTGTACTTTTAGATAATCATGATCTTAAATTTCTTAATCCAATGTGGGTGAAATCACAAATCAGTATCGTTTCTCAAGAACCTATACTCTTTAGTGGGACAATAAGAGAGAACATATTATATGGAGCAATAAACTCTGTAAAATATAATATAGAAGAAATAGCAAACCGTGCACACATTTTGGAATTTACAAAAAATATGCCAGATGGTTTAGATACAGTGATTGGGGAACGAGGTATTACACTCAGTGGTGGACAACGACAAAGAGTTGCTATTGCTAGAGCTTTAATAAAGGTATATACATTATTGAAATAAAAATCATTCAGTACAATTTAATGTTTCTAAATTACTTGCATTTAGGATCCCAAAATTTTAGTTTTGGACGAAGCCACGAGTGCATTAGATGCCGAGAGCGAATATTATATACAAAAAGCTTTAGAAAAAGCTGTTCAAGGACGAACAGTTTTAACCATAGCTCACAGATTAAGTACAATAAAAAATGCAGATAAAGTCGTAATCTTAAAGCAAGGACAAATAATAGAAAGTGGAACTTATAAAGAACTTATGCATCTAAAAAATAGTTACTTCAATAAGTTAGTTCAACATCAAATATTTAATTAAATTTTGTAATAAACGTGGTAAAATTAATGTATTAAAAAATTATATGTGTATATTGTTTAATGAACCAGAAAAATAATGAACACAACAAATATATGATAATATATGAAAACATTTTATAGAGGTCATTGAAAGTCACATTTGTAATAAATAATTAATAAATTTATTGATTTCTGAAATACAATGTTTTATTCTGTAATTATATTCCAGTTATTCGTAACTTTTTTTTGCACCATGTACCATTTTTTTACAAAATTTTGAATCATGAAAATCATATTTTTAGAAGGCATGTTTAAATAACTTCTACAAACAGTTTTTTCATCAAAGATGAATTTAAGATTTAAAAAATGAAATTTAATACACATTCATTTAGGATATTAAAATAATTTATATAACACAATCATTATTATAAGTTCTGATCCAATATAAAAATCACAAAGCTATATTTTCTTTGACTTAAAGTATAAGGCAGGTATTATAAATAATTCCACTTTGGTAATAATTTTTAATATATTTTCTATAAAATAATGTACACTGCTATATTAAGTTATATCAATGTCTTATATCAATGATCTATGTTACTTTTAAATTAATATACTGTTATTATAATTATTTTTAAGATGAATTATTTCTAGACTTGTGTTTGCATAAAAATATTTAATGAAAACACATGACCAGAAGTTAATTGTTGTAATTAAACTAGTCAGATTTAAAATCATTATATGAACTTAGTTAATATAATCTCTTCTTTAGGAAAATAAAGATGTTGTGATAATTAGTTGACAAATATTTGACTATTATACCTCTATTGGAAAACAGAGTAAAATCATTAATTTCTCTAACTGAAAAAAAACTTCTCATTCTTGGTATTCATCTCACTTTATATAGAAGATCTGTTTAATAAAAGCATGTATTTACTGATTGCAACTTAAATTATTAAATAATTTTGATCCCACTTATATTTAATATAATTGAAACATTTTTAAATTTCACTCATCTTTGTGAAAATATGTTATTAATAAGTATTGATTTCGCAAAACTGGCATATTTTTTGTGTTACCAATTATTTTCCAATTATTACAATTTTTTTATGTGATAAATATATTTTTTATGTAAGATCAATAATTAATTTATTTGACAGTGATTAGACCTATACTTCTATTTGCCAATTAAACATACTGTAAAGCACCAGAATGTAGGTTTAAAACGTTTTTCCATTTATATCACATGTTGTATTTGTTAGGAGCATAGAATTTCATATACTCCAGTTGCAAATATAGCTATATTTTAAGTAGAAATTTAATTAGCATAAGTTTACTATGAAATTTCATTATAAACTGGTGAAAATCTAACCCATGGTCAAAAGTGGTCATTAATATTATAATGTCCTAGAAATAAGCAGCATTTTGCTTTCTACAGGGGCGTAGAAATTCATATGAACAAGTCTCTGTACAATACCGAAATTTGTGGTAATAAAGTGGTATTTATAAAGTTAATGAAATAGTAAGTAACACATAATTATAGAATTTTTTGTAAATTTTACAATATTTCTTTATGTCTTATATATCAAATCACTTAAGGGAAGTCATACAAATCATATTTAAACTACAATAAAAATATTTCTCATATAGACAAATTCCGTTTTTTCAGTATTTGTTCTTTTTTGTTAAAAGAGAAATCAAATATTAAAAAAATGAACAGAACCTTCTTCTTACACGTTATTAACTTCTAGATGATTGTACTGTTTCTTGCTCCATAGGTTCATCATCTTGCTGAAACACGGATAATGTTTCTTCTTCATCTACTTCCATTAATTCCACTGCTTCTTGTCCTTTCTTACTCATGACATTTTCTATTACTGTATCACTATCCTCTATTTTATTTATGGTAGAAGTTATGTCGTTACCTTTTAATTGTGCTATGTTACTATCCACAACAGACATGTCTTTTTTATTTTCTGATTGACATGTTACTGTAGTATTTTGATTTTCTGATTCTTCTGTTATTTCAACAATTGGAGAATTGTTTTTTTTTACATTAACAATTTCAGTATCTTTTGGTTCCTCAACAATAGGAATTGGATCAGGTACTATAGATTTTATTACTCTGGTTTCATCTTCTACAGCTTCTGTAATAATTAAATTGCTTTTCTCTTGATCACAATTGAAATTTTTTGTTGCATTATCTTTAGAACATGGTTCTTCCACTATAGGTTTTAAATCATTTATTAGTTCTCCTTCTTTGTTTTGATCTTTTATGTTCTCTACATCTACAGACATATCCTCTGATGTATTTATAGTTTCTTCTGTATTTACATTATCAGTGGATAAAATTAAATTATTTGTAGGTTGTTCCGAACTGTTTGTTGTAACTTTGCTTCCAATATTAACATTTTCTAAAGTTAGTGGCTCTTTATGTTCTGTATTTGAACCAGATGTATCAATTATTGATTGAATGTTTCCTACATCAGTACCTAATTTTATTGTTGTTTCCAAATTTTCGTTAGTATTTAAAAGATTTTTAATAACTGGATTAACTGATTCTTTATTTTCTAACACTGTTTTAAGATCAACATCTGACTTAATCAATATATCATTACTTTTATTTGATCCTTCTTGTACATGTATTGACACTGTTTCAACCTCTGTTTTTTCGTTTATTTTAGAATTATCTACATAAAGCTTTGATGATTTATTTTCATTTGAACTGAAATCTTTTGTTTGAAAAGTAGTTTGTAATTTCCTCAAGGAATCCAGAGCATCTCGTCCTTCATTTTCCAATTCTAAACTAGGTTGAGAACTGGTGTCCTCATTCATGATTGCTTCTGAAACATCGCTCATAATGCCAGAAGTTTCAGGAACTATAGTTGATAGATTCTGTATTGTAGGTCCAATTTGTGAATCTTGTGTTTGAGTTTGAGAATTTAAATTAGAAACTCCAGAAAATTCTGAAGTAGTTGGTATAAAATTAGATACCACAATGTCTGACTTGGAAGATGTAGATTCCACTTTTTCATGAGAAAGTTCCTCTGTTCCAAATACATTCTTTACTACAGTAGTAGTTGGTACAACAGTATGTAACAATGGTGTTTCATTTTCAACAGTGTGCACGCTAATTGTAACTGTAGAAGGGCAATCCTTTTGCCAATATTCCATTTCTACATCTTGAGGAGGTTGTGTTACAGATGTATCTTCATCTATAGATCCATTGACCATACCATCTCCATTTTCATTCCTCCTTGCTATTGGCCCAGGTTCTCTAGTAGAAACAACCAAGATATTTTTTTCAATGGCTCTCATAAACTTGTCAACCCTATTGTATTCCTTACGCGGTGCTGTTAACAATTCGCAAATTCGCTGGACGGTAAATGGAGCGCTCGCAAATGATTCCAAACGTTCTAAAAGATTACTTTTCATTGTGTCATAATTAAAATGTTCAACATTTGGACAAGGTGCGAGGTCAAGCGTTGGACAAGTCTCATAAAAATCAGTCATCACACGGGTGAGCTTTTCTCTGAACAATGTTTTGATTAAAGACCACTGATAAACAGGATCACCGGTTTTCGCAACCCAACATAAATAATCCTCAAGCTCCCGAGGTATTTCACTCGGACGCATTTTCTGAAATTCGTCGAGCGCTTGCAATACCTCCTCCAAATTATCCATCTTCACCTCCTGCTACCCCCACCGCCTTCTTTTGTTCGCAAAATAATTTCTATTGACACTTTTCGTTGGATTGCTAAAAACCTGTGAAAAACTGTATGCAAGAAGTAACGAAAAACGCAAACACACCGGGTACTAAATGGCAACAATGAAGGGCAGGAGACGAAGCAGGGTTACCAATACTTTAAAAACGTGTCAACGTTGACAGTGTTTGGTTAGCTTCCATTTATTATATTATTTTTTCGGCGAACAAAACAATTTATGACCTCTAGAAATTTAATATTAAATCTCTGTAATCTATTTCTATTGCTTTGATAATATTTAGAACGATATGGTATTGTTATATTGAAAATATGTAACATAAAATTTACATAAATGAAAAATAAAGTTGTACATACCTTTTTTCTATAGGTACTTTCTATACACAATTAAAAATGATATTTAACAATGTTCAAATTATATATTATATTAAATCAAAACAAAATACTAATAATTATATTCATAAATATTACAAAACAAAAAAGGAGTCTTTTAGTTTTCATATTTAAATAGTGGTACTAGCAATGTATAGTTAATATTATATTAATAAACTAAGGGTTTCCAATTTAAAATGTTTTATAGATTGTTATATTTAGTAACAATATAAGAAGAGGTAGATTTAATATTGATTATGGAACAAATACACTGAAAAATATATATGGGTTTCAAATTACTAAATATTATATAGATTATATAGATTTATTTTAACATAGATTAAGACTTAAAACTTTGATTGGACATTTAGATCTTACAATATGTAAATGTACAAGTTATTATACTTAAAGTATAAGATAATATATATTGTAATTTTTTTTTTGAATTGTAATATATTATCTTATATCTCTTTAATAACTCTTTAATAATAATATAACAAACAAATACGATTGTTTAAAAATAATTGTGCATTCGAAAGTTTCAAAAGTTCGGATTGTGTATTATTCTTAATTAAAACTGACATAAATCAGTTTCCTGTGAAAAGATTAATATTATTATCACAAAAAAGTATTTTTATTTGTTAATAACAATTATTTAAGTGATGTAGTTTTTCAAATGCACAATTAATTCATTAATTAATAATTGAACACAATGTATATAATACAAACTTATTTTGAAACTGATTAAAAATTTTTTACAATTTCACTACTTACAAAATTAAATTTAACGAATCTTGTATTATGGAATAAATAAGATGCTGTTCATTCAAGTATGATAGTAACTGATTGAAAAACGAGAAGAATAAAATGAATGGAAAATGCAATATACATGTATGAAATTACTGAAATATATTATATAATAATCGATAAAGATATGTACAGTAGTGCGTTGAAAATTAGCCATTCACTATTGCTACAAATTTTTCAAATTATCTTCATGAAGTGAGACTTCAATGTTATCAACCTGAGATATATAAACAAATGTATTGAAAAGCCATCTGTATTTCACAGAAGGTTGTCCTTTCATCTTTGGCGAGATTCAGTCCCGATCATCGGTCAATTTCCAAGGCACCACTTATTAGCTTTTAATATACAAAAGATGTTTTTTTAAACAATCTATATATTGATAACTGCATTTTCAAAAGTTTTCTGCAATAACTTTATAATGTTTATACACTAATTAAATAATATTATAAATTATGAAATACAGTAGTGCAGAGTTAAATTCAATCAAATTTAAGAACCAACAATTCAATTTTCGCGTGCGGGGTAGCGTATTTTTTTTTTAGAAATTGACTCAAGTATTATCTAATAAAGAAAGCAAAAAAATATAACAAGAAGCAGCGAGAAAGATATAGTATGAACAACAATGGTTGAGATCTAGCAATTCAAAAAGATGTCATCATTGAAATATGACTACACACTAAAGAAAATGTTATTTTTTCTTAATTTTTATATTATCTTTCTAAAAGAGGTACTCATGTATTTTTGGAATTTTTACAATTAAAATGAATCTAAATATAGCGTAAATCAAACTACTTTTAAGTATAGCTTAACTTGATATAAGCAATAAAATGATACATAATAACATAATAAAATAGTTTGATTTATATGGCGTTTAGACTCATTTCATTTGGAAGGACTCCGCAACACATTGGTGCTATTTTTAGAAAATAAAATTTTCTGTACTATATGTTTATTTTTTCAATAATGGCATCTCTTTGTACTGGATTTGTCTCGTTTTCTTTCATTTTACCGATTTTTTCTTCTTTTCAGTCGCATTAAGTTTCATTAAGCTCAAAACATTGAGCAGTAGCAGAAGAGTATGCATAGTTCGTATAAAATAATAATAAAGTTATTGCACAAATATGATATTTTTAACTCTCTTTTTTTTCTTTGTATATGTGCGCACGCATTACGTGTACATGTGTGTTAAGACCTTTTCTAATAGCAAAACAATTTAATAAATGTGCAAAATTTAAAAATGTTGGAGGTTAATTAAATTATAATGTACATTGCACTGTGGAGAAAATTATTAATAGTAACAAACTTATATTTAAATTGGCTGGATGGAAAGCTTTGTAATGATTATAATTTCACACTACACAGTTTTGTTACTTATAACTATCCAATAAATCTGTTGTTAATAATGATTTCATAAAGTCAAGTTGATATTACCATAAATTTGTTTTTAATATCTTTTTTTTTCATATATTTTGATAATTTAAACATCAACCACCATCTTCTTATGGATGTCTGTATTACCAACAACCTGAAATCATATGTAATAAAAATTTGATACAATTACTTTTTCTTCTCTTCTCTACAATGTACTTGCAGAGTACATTGTACATAATACTTACAGAACAAAATTCCTCAAAACTAATTTTGCCATCTTCATCTTTATCGGCAAACAATATTGTTTTATCAATAATTTGTTGAAGTTGTATATCCTTCAAATTATTTCCTACCATCGTTTTTAACACTTGAAATAATTCTCCATTACTTATGAAACCATCATTATCCACATCATAAATTCTAAATGCAAATCGTAATTTGCTTTCTTTGTCACCCTATGTTAAGAATAAAAAGAAATGTTTTAAAATGTATTACTTGAATTCTTTTGAAATTACAACAAAATTTATATATACCTTAACACTGAATTGTGAAACACCATGAATAAATTCCTTAAAATCTACTTCTCCATTACCATCAGCATCAAATATATCTATAACACGTTGTACTAAAGGATTCTGTTGTAACTCTGGTAATGACATAAATTCATCAATGCTTAAAGCACCGCTGTTATCTAAATCTAACTTCCGAAATCGTTTTCCTAGTCTTCTAATTTCATCTACATCAACTAAAAAATTAATACTTTTATATTAGAAAAATATTCAGAAAGCATAAAACTAATATTTTTTATTAATATGATAATGTATGTGCATGCATGGATACTTGTATATCAACAAATATGGTGGATGTACTTCACAGGTGCTATGTTTAGTTGTGATAAAAATAAATCAAAAGCAATATGTAAATTCAAAAATATGTAAATCAAAAAAAATTATTCTTAATATAATAATATTAAATTTTGATAAAATATAATTTAAATAATTTTATAATATATAAACTAATTAAAAAAGGGAATAAAGGATTTATATTTTACGACAGAATTTTAAAAAATAAAATAGGTTATTTGAAGATACCAAGACAGTGATTGATATTAACTTACAATTAGAACATAGTTCCATAGGTAGCGAATTTTCATTACCCTAAAAAAGAAGAAAACATGTAAAATAGATGTATGATACATTCTGTTAACAAAATTTCACATTACTCATATCATAAATTTTAATAACGATAACTATAATGTTTTTTTTTCTTTAATGAATATAAAATCAATGACTCATACTATGATATATTGTTTAATCATTTATGCAAATATAAGTACATTTAAAATTTACTGTATAATTACCATTATGTTCTCGTGTAAGTAGATTTCTGTCACAAATTTACGACAAAACGTCAAAAGTGATCAGCAAATACTACTTTATACTTTATAGTTGACCAGCAGGAAAATGAAAGATAGAAAGGAAACTTTACAGAAAGGAAACATGAACATTAAAATTCTAGATTTTATGAAAATAATTTTTTGTCTTAAGTTTAATTGCTCGTTTATAATCAATTTTCCAAATACATTTATAATATTAGGATTCCCACATTGAAATTGATCTGCAAAATTTTATATGATTGAAATTGAATTTTTGGTAATTTTCATTCTATAGATGTCACTTTAATCTACTACTTTACTTAAAGGTTTAAATCAAAAATGTCAGTTGAAAGAGAAAGTATTGTTTGGAACAATTTTTTATGAATATACGAATCATTAATTACTGTATTAAAAAATTCAACTTAAATATTAAATATTATACAAATTATATAAATAATTACTATTGAAAAACAATATAAATAAGATATTATGAATAAAATATGTTAACAAAAATTTAAATATTTTGCTTTGGCAGATATTTAATATTTAAATATACAAATTTTTACAATACGATAGGTGTACAATAAAAATTTATTGAAAAATATTCCCAAATTGTAAAAAGAACATATAATTCCTGATACTATGACTCACGTGGAAGCATTTAAACTTCCTTCTGATGTTCCCTCTGATTATAAGGAAATTGTTCTTGATACTTTATGTAAAATGGAAGAACATGTTGATTGTAGGGGATCAAGGTAAAATATAGAAACCTTTTTCATTATTACAAAATTGTGTAATTTAGATTTTATTTTAAAATCAAAATATCTATTTTAGATATCAATGGAATTTAGATGATTTTGAAATTGGTGCACCTCTGGGTAGAGGTAAATTTGGACGAGTTTACTTAGCTAGAGAAAAGACTACACATTATATGGTTGCATTGAAAACTTTATATAAAGTGGAGTTAATGAAAGGACGTGTGGAAAAACAAGTGATGCGTGAAATTGAAATTCAAACACATTTAAGGTAGATTTAGTGATTTATAAATTTCTCAATAAATGTCTTATGAATCTGATTGTCATAAATTAATGTATATTATTGCATAAAATTTTTTAGACATCCTCATATTCTTCAAATGTTAACATATTTTCATGACCATAAGCGAATCTATCTTGTATTAGAATTTGCAGCTAAGGGTGAATTGTACAAGGAATTAAAGCGACAGCCTAATGAAAGATTTAATGAACACCTGTATGTGTTTTTGGAGTTAATTTATAATTTAATAATTCAATAATTTTATCCTATAATTCATAATTTTATCCTTTAGGTCTGCTAAATATACTTACCAAGTAGCAGATGCTTTAGAATATTGTCATAGGAATAATGTAATCCATAGAGATATAAAACCAGAAAATTTATTACTTACATATGAAGGTAATGTAAAATTGGCAGATTTTGGATGGTCTGTTCATGCACCATCATCTAAGTAAGTATATTTCAAATTATAACCTAGTTAAAATAGCAATAATAAAATAAGTTCTATTGAAATGATGACAATTGTAGGAGGAATACATTATGTGGAACATTAGATTATTTGCCACCAGAAATGGTAACAGGTCAAACATACGATATATATGTTGATCATTGGTGTTTAGGCATTCTCTGTTATGAATTCCTAGTAGGTAAACCTCCTTTCCTTAGTGATTCACAACAAGAAACATATATGAAAATAAAAACATTAAATATACAGTGGCCAGAACAAATTACATCAGGAGCCAAAGATTTGATATCAAAGGTAATTTTTATATATATTGTATAATTTTTTATTTTGATATGTAATTAATTTTTTTTAATTACAGTTAATTAAGCGGAAAAGTTCAGAAAGAATTTCTATGGCTGCTGTGAAGAGACATTTTTGGATATTGAAGTATAAAGATTAATGTGAAATGTGTGCAAATTATATGAAAAAATTTGTTTGTTATTAATTATTATTATTAAGACAACTTATATTTCCTACATTTGTATATATAAACATTTTTTCTGCATTAACATAATTCTTATGGCCAGTTTAAATTAATCCCTGTTACATCTAATGCAACTATATCAATTTCAACATTAAGAATGTCGCATAAACTCGGCTTAGTTCGTCCAAAATCTCCATGTATAAATTCTTTTACGTAAGTTCCAGCTTGTGTCTTGATATCTAATACAAAGAACATACTAGCACCTTCAATAGTAATATCCAATTTTTTTAATTCCTGATGTTCTACCCAACGCGCTCTCATCTCATATATTAAACGTTCCCTGGGACTTAAAGGCCGTCGATGCAATACCCTTACTGGTGTCTTTTGTACTATTTTTACTCGTTTTAAATTATTTAATTCTTCAAGAGATAGCATGTTTTTAGATGCATTACGACAAACACAAAGTGCTCGATAAAATTTCGTTTTAATATTTTCACCTTCTTTCAACCTTTTTAAGTCAAATTTAGACAAAACTTTTAAGTTTGACGTAATCTGTACTTGATGTGAAGATTGATTAATTCTGTTAACCAAATATGATAATAACTTTTCGGTTATTTTGGTCATTCGAGGATTAATTAATTCAACTGCAAAAGGCCTTCCTGAATATATATTTCTGACATCCACATCTTCTCTTCCAGATGATAAAAATTTAATAGCTGAATATGTATGAAAAATGGTATTAGATTTGAAAATAACTGATCACAGTGTATAATTATTTGTCAATTACAATATTAAACATTATTAAATATTCAACTTACATTGAGCTTTTACTACTTCAACAATAGGATTACATAATATATCTTGAACTGAAGTCTGCATCTTTTTCTCACCATTTATGAACCATGGTGTTTGACTAAGTTCTCTTGATAGCTTAATATACCTTCCTGAAGTTATAATATAGTACATATAATAATTTATGTTACAATTACATCTCTAATAGAGAATATTACCTCCTATAAAGATACTTGAATATGAACATATGATATTTTCTACATCAATACTATCATATGTTTTGAATGATGAAGCTTTACAATACTCAGAAAATTCTTCATCCGTTACTTTGGCCATTACAGCTTCTATGCTTTTTCTACTAACTTTATTATCATTGAATTTTCTTTTTTGTTTATTTCCCATAACATTTCGTTTATACATGTTTAGTCTACAAAGAAGAAAATTCTATTTAAATTAAAATAAAATAATTTTGTCAAATGAAATAAAACAATTCTAAAAACTTACAATGTTTCACATTCTTTCTCATTACATTTGTATGTTAAAATAATTTCGATCAAGAAAGGAGAAGATATTGTTAAATTCACTTGTTTCATAATTGCTTGTTCTATTTTGGGTGTCATTATCCATTTCCAAACATCTTTGACATTTTGTAGCTTGGTTCTAAATTCTAACAATGTTTCTTTTGAAAAATTAAGTTGCATAGCACATTGTATATGTAAGAAACGTTCCCTGAGGCTGATGCATACTGGTACTGTTAATGCACATGTAAATGTTTCACTGTCATAATTTTGTTTTTTTACTTCAACTTCAATCTGTTTGTAAAATTATTTCAAATTTATATAAAATATCTACATTTCAAGTTAAATGCTTCAACGTACTTTTTCAACAACTTGTTGTTGTACTTTATTTTGGAGAATTCCTAGACAGGCTATGCAAATTATTTCATCATTGAAAGAAACTTCCTTTTCTTCAATATATCCAGACTAAAAAAAGATTTTATATTATATCAAAAATTTAAAAGTTATAGAATTCGAAACTTACTTGTCTTGCAAATTTAACCGGATTTTCGTAGCAATTTAGCGTACGCCATCCAATAAAACGAAGACAACATCTTAAGCAACAATTTTGCTGTTGCAAGAAATTAAAAATATGTTTTTCTCCTTCACTAGAAAGATTCATCTTGATATAAAATTCTGTAATATAATATTTTAATATTAAACAAATATTAAATGAAAATTAAATTATATTAATTACGCTTTAAATTTGTGATTATGCTAACCTACTGCAAATGCAACCACGTATGTTTTTGAGTAGTTCAATAGTTAAATACATACAAATTTATGTATGGATTGAAGTTAAATTACTGTTTTCATTCTTTTAATTATTACAGACTTCTACTAAAATTAAAAATTTGTCTAGAACATGAAATCGTAGTGAATGCAATGATATATTATGCAACGAGATATCATTCTATGGTATAGAATGAAACAACTTTCTTATCGACTTTACCTAGTGCGGTAGGTGTTTACAGTGTCATTATTACTAGTGTAAATAGCTATAAATTTTAAGTTTTATTTTGTTACATCTGGTACCTGATTAATTTATAGATATAGTAACGTAGCACTTAACAACATGCCTATTTTAAGGAAAAAATCTAGCAAAAAAGTAAATGCTGAAAATGGCAATGACAATTTAATTGGAGGTTAATAACATCGTTTTATAATTATTTCAAAATAATTTTTCTATTCATATATTACTAAAAAGTGTATATATTGATAAAATAACATTTTATTTCTTCATGGCAGATATAACCATCGACGACTTTGCAAATTCATCACGAATGCATGCGAGATTTAAAAAGGCAGTGAAAAATATTTCCTCTGAAGGTTACCTTATTAATATACATTTCAATCAATTTTGTGTTATGCCATTTATGTTTAATAGAAAAAATTATTCTTATTTCTTAGTGATGTGAAAAAAATAATTTTTAATGAATTGTTTCATTCAATTCTTTTATAGTGAAGCAAGAAACAACAACAGAAAAAAACTTTGGAAATAAAATGAATGAAAATTATCAGAGTCATTTATACGAGTTTAATAAGTTGAAAAAAAATACTACAGGTATATATTTTCAAAAATATCCAGTTATAAATTTTTAATTTTTTATTTTCATTTAACTTTCAATTCTTCTATAGGTGTGTTAAATCAAAGGAGAAGTAGAAAAGAAAATTGCTTTAAAAATACCATAGAAGAAGAAGGTAAAATATAAAAGAATTAAGAAATAATAGAATTAAAATTCTTGAACTATATGGAAAATTATATTTTTACATTATTTAGGTATAGATTATCCATTGGATATATGGTTTATTATATCTGAGTACATTAGTCCAGAAGCTGTAGGAAAATTTGCTCAAATATGTAAGAGTTCTTATTATGTAGTAACAACAGCAAAATTTTGGTTTCATTTGTATAAGTCGTAAGTTTTTCTTTATGTAAGGATATAATTCCTGGTTGAGTATGTAATATGATAATATTAAGTAAAGTATAAATTACAATTAAATATAAAATATAAAATTACAGTTACTATAGATTTGTTCCTGGTTTACCACCACGCCTACAACCACAATGTATGGTTCGTACACATGGACTTCGTGCTTGTGTTATTAGGACATTACATTACACTTATTTTGCTTTGAATAGAAAAGTTGATGATTTGCTCTATTTAGGACAAAATGAGCTACACTCACTTGTAAAAAGACAATGTTGTCTTATGTGGCATAGAGTATGCAGCATAAAAGTATATAAAATATTAATATTAGATCATGCTGAATAGATGTAGTTATGAAGTTATGTATTTCTAATTCTTGCAATTCAAGAATTATGGATACTTTCAGTATGAATCTAAAGAATGTTTAATAAAATTTATTATACATAAATTAATTATTCAAAATTCTTCTTAGGAAAGAAAAACATTATGGTATTTTTATTTTAAATTGAAAGAGTTGCCCAAAGGTGCCAATAACTTATTAAGACAAAAAACAAAGATAAATGGTAAAAAGACAGATTTTCTCGAAATGTTGGAAGATGTAGCTGTAAATCTAGAAGAAGGATGTAAAGTACTTAGGGTATGTATTTTAATATAAGATAATTATTTGTAATGTACAATATAACCTTGTGATATTATATTTATGCAATATTTATAGGTAATTTGTTTAAAATACAGTATGTTGCCACCTGTAAATGGTTTGATTCTACAATCAGTATCAATGACTTTAATGCCTGGTTTTAAAGATCATCAACTACAACTTGGTTTTGGAACATCTAATATTCCTAATACATTAACAAACAAAGTTATTTTAAATCATGTTGTTAACTATAAAATTATAGATTGGTGGCATCCGTTCTATCCTCATCAGGATGCAATAACTGCTATTAAATTACCACAAAGTGATTCTTGGGATCAGAGCTTATTATAATAAAAATTGCATATTTTATAATCAAACAGTTAGATCATAAGTAAAACTTTTGTAATATAAATATATCTATGTATATAATATATTAAATGTCTGTTAAATAAATGAGTTAGATACTTATTTTTCAAAATTTCATGAATTATCAAAAAATTGAAAAGAAAGAAAATATTGAATAATGAACATATATACATATAAACTAAAATATTATATAAATACTATTTTATTACAGCTAATAAGGTAGTAAAACAAAGTTTAAGCTAGTTTATTTAAAAATAAAAGAAATAGGAGAAACAAAATATTATTTTTTTGTTGCTGTTTCAACTATGTGTAACAGGTCTTTCATATGAAGTACGTTTAAAGTTGAAATTTCCATGTCTGTAATCTAAAATGTAATTTATATGTATAATGTAATGTAAGTTTTATACAACAAAAGATGATTTATTAATTAGAAAAATTTACCATATTGACGTAAGCTTGTACATCAACTTGTAACTGGATTCGTATTTTTTCATTATCACTGATTCCTTGAACTTCGGAAGAAAGAGACCCCATTGACTTATCACGTATTTGTTTTAATCTTCTTAAACTCTCTTCAGTTATTTGCACTGAAGTTAAGACGTCTGTTACGGAAGCTAAGTAACTGTAACAGCCAAATATCATAAATTTTACAAATATTACAAAATGCTATTTAGTAATACTATCTATTTGTATTTTTTTTACTTACTGTTCAGTTAACAAAGAAAGAGCTAATTCCAACCAACAATTAACATTAGTTGGTATTACTTTTTTGTAATCTGCATGAAAATTGATGAGGAATGCAAGAGTATTTTTAATATAAGTGCATGGTTTTGTTGGTACATCTCGTTTTGTTCGTCTAAATAATCTTGGTATATCATTGACTTGTTTCAGATGCATTACACATTGTTTCAATAATTCATTCACAATTTCTTTTGTAATTTGTGGCCAAATTTTTTTTAAATTGTTTATTGTTTCATCAAGAGAATCTATTAAAGAATGCATACATAATGAGAAAGAAGATTTTGACAATAATAATATTTACATGTTATACTATAACCTTTTAATAATTTCAATACTGTTGAAGTTTCTTCTTTAAGTTTTAATTGAGCTATTTCCAAAATTGATGGAAGTATATTTACAAATTTTTCTGTATCTTTATATAAACAGATTAAGAAGTTAAGTCTTGTGGAATGTTCTACTTTATTTAAATTGTTTATTTCATTTTCTATTGGCCAAACCTTAATACACAAAAAAAAATTATGATTATTGGTCATAACTGATATAATAAATAATTCTCATATATTTTACTATTTGAAAAAGAACTAAGTATACTTCTTTTAGTACTGTTTGAGTCCATATTTGATATCTAGCGCATATTTGAAGACTAAATTTCCAAAATCTAGGTATAAAATACAACAGATTATTTTAATGTCATAATTATAAATGAATGAATTTCTTTTAAATGACTAAATTTAAATAACCAAATAGTTAACTTACTTATGAAAGAGTTGGTACAGATACATATCATTATCCCAAATTTTTTGCAAATTTTCCCATATGACATAAGTTGTACAAAGAGAAAAATCATTTTGTACAAGAGATTCTAGTGTTCCTCTTACAGATGTTGGTGATATTGGTTCAGTTAAAATTGTTTCAATTTTACTAGCTATTTCTTGGAATCTGATTTGAAAATATACTGGTAAATTCCATTTTTTCAGAAAGTTTTTATACTGTGAATTTTCTTTTAATGCAATTAATGATTCAGATGTAACACATTCATTTTCCAGCTTTTCTAAAAACTCCAATGTTGCTACATATCTCTAAAATTATGAAATGTTAAATAGTAATACTATTATAATAAAAATTCTTTTTTATTTCCTTACAGAATGAAATAATATTGGATCTCCAGGAGCAAAAATGCATTTTACATATTGATTAATTTTTTCTTCTACATCAATCCAAAAACTGTTCACCAAAAAATTGAAACCTTTCACAGAAAATCTGTAAAAAAAAGTTTAAAAGTATCCTTATGCAATAATATACTTAATTTTGATTTAATAAAATATATACCTTGGATACATTGTAAGATCTAACAATTGTTTAAGTTCTACATGTAAAATACTCAACAATTTATTGTATATATTTTGTAGGCCTAACAAATCAGTTTGTAAGTTTTCTATACTAATTATGTTATGAACCAATGGACCAACAATTTCCGTTCTCACTAAAATCTCTGCATCAGACATTTTATCAAGTGTAACATAAATTCCTAAACAACGAATTAATAATGTAGAATTTTTTTCTTGTATGCATGCCAAGAAAAGTTCATTGAGAAATGTCATGTAAGAATTCTCAAGTTTTTCAGCTTCCTATTATAACATAACATTTGTTTCAGTAATAAGAACAATGAGTATTCTATGAGGAGAGATATATTTCTTATCAACTATGAATAGACATACTTCATGTTTCTCATTAATAATGCTTAATTCGCATCTGGATATATGAAACTGTAACTGGTTAAATTCTGCAGCAGCTTGTTCTAAAATATCTATTTTAATGGAACTTTCAAGGAATGTATTTAAAGATAATATTGATGAAAGTTTATTTAAGGACTTATAAATATGTTGTAAGCTAAACACACTTCGCTTATATTTTTGAACTTTCTTATTCTCATTCATGTTGTGAATAATTGATATAATTTCATCATCTAGAGTTTGCTGTATTTGCTATAAAAAAAAAATATTATTGATAACATCGTACAAAAATTTAATACTTTAACAAATAAGTACTATTTGTTTTAGTTTACCATTACTTCTTCCCTTAATTGACCTAAAGGTATTTGTAAATCATTAATAGCTTTATCCAAACCTATCATATTACTTGATAAATTTACAAAATCTGTATAATCTCTATTGATTAAATCAATCATAGCAGATCTTAATAATTTTAAGTATATTCCAAGATCGTCTCTCATGGTTTCTAATTTCGTATTTTTTCTGTGTTCTTGAAGGAAGATATCCACATTAAAATTTTGCTAAAAAATATGAATTGTCAATTTAGAACAATTTTATAATAACATATATTGCAGAGTCAAAGAGTATTCTAATATTAACTTACTTGAAGAAAATCTATTTCGGAAAAACATAAATCTTTTGGTACTTTCGGTAAATTAATATTTTCCTTTGACATGATGATAGCTTCTATCATTAACCTTTTCTCATAAAATATTTTTTGTTATTATACATACAAAACATATGAACCAATGCATTCGTAATATTTTTATCGTAATATCTGATATTTGATATTAAATAAAATCCATTCAGAATTTATTTACTTCATAAAACTTGACACTTCATATCAACTACTGTGTCAAAAAATATTTTAAAAAACATCTAAAAAAATATCAATTTTCTTCATAATGTTTTTCTGTCCAAACTAATTCGGAAGCAATATGTACATATTATTGAGAACTATACTACACATTTAAAAAATTTTCTTAAAGCATTTAAAATATTAAATAATCTTACCTAGTTTACTTTTTAGTTGATATATAACCATTTAAATTTTTGGCCTAACTCTGATTTAAGTATACATATGTATATATGTATAAATCGTAATGTACGCACGCGTACAATACTAAAGGAATGGATGGACAGTAATTCATATTCGTGATTAGCAGTAAATATCTACATTTGCATCGATGAGGAAGCTGTGTTTTGAAATAAAATCCAACAAAGAAGAATTTATAGTGTTTTGTTCTTGAAAAACTTCAGTAGACAGATACTAGGGTATTTTCGAAGATAGAATAGCTGTGAAGCCATCACCAAGGAACTTAATAAGTTTTACTACTTTTAGAAGAATTTATTTTCAAAATGGCGGCTACAAGAAGATTGCAAAAGGTAAATCAAAGTTTCTGTCAATAGGAATGATTACACATTGAATCTGATATGTGAAAAACATTGTAAAATAAAATCTAACATTTCAACATAATCATCATGTGGGTGTTTAACAGAATTAATTTTCATATAATCTTCTTAAGTGATATCTAGGTTTTCCATGATGATGTAGAGCACCAATGCTTTTCCTATTATTTAATATTTATCTCCATTGTGTACAACATTTAAATGTACAACATAATAAATCATATATTTTAATATTTATTTAAAGAATATTTATATCATCATTAGGTTGTTAGTAATAATTGGAACAATAAATATTTTATTTCTTCAGGAACTTGGTGATTTACGAGCTTCGGCAATGAAAAATTTTACAAATATTCAAGTAGATGAATCAAATATTCTCACTTGGCAAGGCCTCATATTGCCGGTATGTTTTTAGAGATACATCTATTTTAGAGATATAATCTAATCTATTCTAACCTAACCTAATCCTATTTGTAAAGACAACTATAGTTAGATATACGCAATGCTGTACTACAATTTGATTTTGGAAACATTGGAATGATTGTATATGTCATTTTCAAAATTTAACCGGTAACATAATAATATGACTCTTAATTACATTTACTGTGTATTTTTTTGTTATTCATCTTTTAGAAATATTTATCATTTTAATTCTTTAAAATGTTTTAGGATAATCCACCATACAATAAAGGCGCATTTCGTATTGAAATAAATTTCCCTGCAGAGTATCCCTTTAAACCTCCAAAGATAAATTTTAAAACAAAAATATATCATCCAAATGTGGATGAAAAAGGTCAAGTATGTTTACCAATTATAAGCGCTGAAAATTGGAAACCAGCAACAAAAGCAGACCAAGGTAAAACTTTGTGTAAATTTGTTGAATTTATGAATTTATTGTTTGAATACATTGTTTGATAGTATGAAAAAATAAACAATACATAATTAATTTATTTACAGTTGTACAAGCTTTGATAGCATTAGTTAATGATCCTGAACCAGAGCATCCATTAAGAGCAGATCTTGCAGAAGAATTTTTAAAGGATAGAAAAAAGTTTTTAAAAAATGCAGAAGAATTCACAAAAAAGCATGCAGAAAAAAGGCGGGAATCGTCGTCATCTAATGAATAACCACGAGTGACTGATCTTACTCACCATGATGCCTGCCGCCCATCAGCTAATTTAATTCAAACCAATATAAGACTTCTCTGCTACATGAAAAACAAATTGATTGAGATACATGTGTACAGTATTGGTTAATCACTGACAATGATATTAATATGTGCAAATTGTAAGGTTTATAAAGTGGATTAACAAATTTTTCAGAACAAAGTAAAAGTATAATAAACTAACTGTATGATATTGTATACAATTTGTATTTTGAAGTTATATGGATATATAATCCATATGATTCCACGAAGCGTGAAAAATATCACCTGTTCTTTTTTCTGTCAAATTTAAGGCAATTACAATTTGTTATGAACAAATACAACATTATACAATAATGCATTTACTTCCAGTGTTAAAGATACATTATGAACATGTTAACTCTTCAAGTTATGCATAAATTTTGAATCAGATCAATTAAAATTAGAAGCACCAAATGTAGTCAAAATTTATAAATTGTTAAATTGATCATACTGATACTGTAATCGTATTTCGATATTAATTTTAATTAAGAGTACTTTTCTTAATGTTATCTTGAAAATATAATTCCATCGTCTAATATAAGATATTAATTTGTAACTTATTTTCCATACAATTATAACTGAATTACTTTACATATATGTTTCTTTCTTTAATGTAATGTTATTCCATTAAATAGTAAGAAATTAAATTAATATCTTCATTAATTTGTTATTTTATGTGACAGATTACTACATATGCTATAAAATAATTCAATTGTAAATTCTGAAATATTAGCATTAGCATTTAAACAATTTTAAATATACCTTACCGCATCGATTATGTGCATATATAAGTAATAAAGAGGTATGATTATATTTAATTTTGCGAAAATTGTTAGAAAATGGAATAAAAAAGGAACATACAGAATTAATATGATATTCTTGTATTTAAAATGTGTTGAAACTAAGGATTGCTTTTACAGAGTTTTATTTTTTATTCAGTTCGCGTAAGAAAGGGTAAAACCTTTTGTTTAAATATTAAAACTCTATATTAATAAATAAAGATATAAATGAAAATAAAAATATGATGCATTTCACATGATTTTCATTTACCGGCACGCGAGCTCATTGAACCCAATAATATGGTTCTTAATTATATATTTTTTCACATTCCTTTATTAAGTTCTTCGTCTTTTGTATAAGCTCATGCGTGCACTCTGTTTCTAATTCCATCAGTAAACTCCGCATCTGTTACAAATTCGTAGATTCCACTTTTGGCATACTATAATAAATATTCTGTGATTTAACGAAGAATTGGATTAATTCAATTGAAGTCAAATAACTGATAAGCTAGGTGGAAGAGGTAGAACTCATAGAGAACCTATCAATTTTTATACTTATAGTTTGTTTTATTTTCAATAACTAATTTAATAAAAAAATAAAAATTTTTTGAAAAAAGAAAATATGATAAAGTTTTAGGACATGGGAAATGATTAAAATAAAGTAATCAAACACTGAAAATGAGGCAAATATATTCTTAGTATACATTTACTCTGTTTATGTACACATATAATAGATAATCACGAATGTAAATAAAATCATCGCATAAGACTAATAGTTGAATCAAATTTATACTATATTCATGTAGACTATTTTTGATTATAAATACAATTATAAATTTATAAGTGTAAAAAATTGCTGAATCATAATACGCACAATGAGTAAAGCAATTTTAGTGATTATAACTTTAGTTATTATAAATTTTCGATTTATCACTAATAAATATTTGTATATGATACTCAACTAAATTCTATTGAATTTAAATTACAATTTTGATTTATAGCAAGTGTTTTTATATACTTATCTAAATCAAACATACAACTGAAATACGATGAAATGAAGTAAGGGAAGAGGATTATTAAGAATTTTATAGTATGTACTTGATTTTATACTTGAAAGTACACATTCTAAATTATTCAATTATTTTCCTGTCAACCTTTTCCACCAAACTATCCAATTACCAAATATATACGTAATTATTCTCTTTAAATTTCGAGGCAATCAACATCAATTAATTTCAATTGATCTTATAAAATCATTGATTTTTCTTGATGAAATTCTATTTTAAATTTTAGGTTTTGAATTAAATAGAATTACTAAGATTAATATATAACATATACTATATGTAATAATTATATTCAAAGTAGACAGATAATATAAAATATTATCAAAATCTAAAACATAAAATAGAAATTAACTTATGTGAACAATTACCATAAATTAATGGAATGTTGAATCAATAATCTGCCCGAGTTGTATACGGCTGTGATGTGGAATGCCTCGTTCGTGATCATCTTAATAATGTTTGTAAAAGAACACTAGAAATGATAACAACTTTTATCAATGGACAAATGGAAAATTAATAATGTAATGTATAAGTTAATAAAATGTAATGAAACATTAAAGAAATATATAAAGGCGTAGATATTGTTACAGATTACTTACATGTTTGTACAGATCCAACATTTAAATTTGAGAATTAAGCAACGTACGTATACACCTTTCTGTAATTGAGTTAATGAAACCAATGTTGAAAATAATTATCAAAAGTTTTACAAGAAAAAACTGAATATAATTTATAATTTTGATACGAACCTATCTTCTGGCGTGCGTGCCAAATATTCACGTTCGATTAAACCTTCAATACGCTTTTTAATTATTACGGGTGATGGTAAAAATCGACCTCTTAATTGTTCTGTTACTTCTGTTACAAGTATATTGTGCTAAAAAAGAAGAAAAAGAAACAGAGAAAAATCAATATAAAATAAAAAAGTTTAGAATATTAGAATAATTATAAATTATGAAAATAATATTACATACAGGCATACGTTTTCTATCTTTCATAATACGAACAATAGCTGCTTCTATCTCATGCTTTCTGTCCTCATCCACTTTGTTACGAGTTTCTCTTCTTTCAGGTTCTGATTCACCTTTCGCGGCTACTGTTTGAATTTTTACTCTAGAAGGAATAATAAATAATTTAGAAATAATATACCAAATAAATTCAACTATTATATTATTGAAAGAGTTACCGATAATTGATTTTAACAATGATAATATAACTAGTGCACCTGTGTAATTTACTGGTAAAGCTGTCATTGACGCAAAAATAATGTGAAGGTTCTATTTCTTTTGTACGAGGATGTTTTAATAGTACTCTTTGTGTAGCTTTACCCATTGCGAGAGATTGTAATGCTCTAACCAAGTCTCTCTCTGGAATATCGGTTTCACCTTGAATTTCCTACACAACGTTTTAGGTATTGTATAGAAAAACATAAAACATCAGTATTTCAACATAGAAGAAATTAAGAAATAAAAATTACTATTCAAACTAACCTCGTATGTCAATTTGTCTCTTTTATTGAAAAGCATCAAAACACACATTTGGTAAGTTGATACTTGAATTATGTGTTTTCTTGTGTTTCCACAACTGCTGCTACGTTGGCTTAAAATACTACCATTAGTGGATATTCCACTACCATATAAACTACTACTTCCATTGCCAATGGAACTTGAAGATGATGGTGTATCTAAACCACCACAATTACTTTCTTCTCTTCGTGGTCCATGAAATACAGCATTCAAATCCGCAGAACCTAGAAATGTTACATTAATCTCCTTTAGTGGCCATAATATGAATTACTAAAAATAAAGGACAGTGCTAATTGACTAACCTAATTGTGGTTGTAATGTTAATTGCCGACCACTATGTTTAGCGAGATAGAAACGTCGAAAGGCATCAAAAGCATCACGTGGAGCAGCTGGCATGCTACATTTTGGAGTTGCAGACTGTGTTGGCCAAAACCCGGTTGTCAAAACTCTTACACTTATATCCACACCATGCAAGCTTGTCTGTAAGAAAAAGAATTGAACAACAATTATTTATGAAACAATCATTAGTATTTTATAAGTTACAACTGCTTACATTAGATGTAAGGACATGATCCTTGAATTCATCCATAATGGTATTACTAACTGTTATATCTTTAAACATTCCTTCCAATTTTGATGTGAATTGACACCCACATTCAGTCTATAATAATTAATTCTTAAATAGTTTATAATAAAGATAACTATTAATAAACTAAAAAAGAAAATAAATTGAATAAAAAAAGTAAACATTACCTTAAGTTTGGATATCATGTTTTTCTCGCTATCGTCGGACATGGATTTATTTAAAAGAAGACGTTTAGCTAAATGCTGTTTATAGTACCGTTCAAATACATCTTTTTCTTGAAGAAATCTAAATAAAACCATAGTTTTATCCAAGATACCTTCAATTTCTTGTTCTGTCATCTAAAATTTATTATAACAAATACTAATTATCATTATCTACAATTGCATTATTGAATATTAGAAATGGAGATACAATAAATAAAGTTTATATTTTATGTATATATAATGAACCTTTGTAGGATATAAAAAATTTATTTAACTTTCATAATATTACCTACCATGAGTACTTATTTATAGAAATATAATTAACAGAACTAACCCCTTTAACACCTTTTTTCAGCTTGTCATCAATGAAAAGTGAAAGGTATTCTGGACTTTTTGTATTCAAATTTAGAAAATATTCAAAGTCAGACGCGATCATTTGTTTATAATTCTTATCATTGTTAAACGAATAATGAAGAAAATGATCGAAACGATCTTTTAAATCCAATAAATTTTGTATAAAAAGAACGGCATTCGTTGTCGATTCATGTTCTTCTTGAACCATGGCACGTCCTTGTTCTTTAAGAAATTGAGAAACGCAGTCGCACACTGTACGCAAACCATCCGAAACTCTTGAAAATAATTTATACATGCAACCAAGATCTTCAGTTTTCTGATTTTTGAGCATGTGTACCACACCACTGTTTTCCATCTTTAAATAAAAAAAATAAATTGCTTTAATTTGTTCATTTATACAACAATATAGAATATTACAATAGTAGAAAAATAATTATACCTCAACAATAGTTTTCATATGAATTTTAATTAGTTCTTCTTCTACAACTTCTACTATCCGTGGTTCAGTGGATTCATCTAAATAATGTTTTGCTCTTTCTGATTCTTCACAAATTCTAGCTTCAACTTTTTTAATATATACTGATGCACTATTTTCTGCCAAGAACTTTTGAGATTCCATCTAAATAAAAAAAGATGAATGGTAATATTAAAAGATAATATCCATTAATACTGAATTCAATAACAACATTGAAAAACATAAAAAACTATTTTACTCTATAAAATTCAGCACTTTGTTGTAAAAAAGGCCTTTCAAAATCTTCTTCATAAACTTGACGACTGTTAATGCCAAGTAACATTAACATTTGGCAGGCATTTTTTACCGCAATACGATCTACAACTTCTCCCCTTCTTTCTCTTGCTACCATACCTAATAAAGTTTCTCGTAAATGATCTCTAACACATCCATATCTGACCACCTAAAAATAACATAATTATATCAATAAATCTTTAATTATACTAAAACCTTTTAAATAACCTAATAAACAATTACTTGGTCTCTAAATATGATAAGTCCCAAATTATACACATTGTCCACATCATGCTGCTGCACATATACTCTGTCCATATACATCAAGATATCTCTAATCATCACCATAGATGTCTGATGATCATTCCAAGCTTGATTTAATGTTTGAAGAAAATTGTTGTGGAGAGATCTTAATACATCTTCTCTGACTTTAGTTTCTAAATGGTGTGTTACAACTTCCTTTAAACCTGTGTACAAACGTTCCCCATATTTGTGAAGAACCATAGTATAAGCATTCCGGTAAAGTTCTTCAAAACTAAGTCCTGAATTATTTTTCTTCTGAATTTCCTGAATAGCATTTTTTAGTAATGCCCAAATACTTTCTACATACTTTTCATCCATAGTTGTCTACAAAAAATGTCAAACACAATATTAATTTTATTAATTATAAAACAAACAAATATTTGAAAACTAAAATTTGATAAAAAGTTGAAAATAAAAGATTATTAATACACAAATTAGATCTATTTAAAAAAATCAATAGAATACATTGAATTATATAATATAGTTTCAAACATTAGTAGAATTTTGGTTAATGAATTAAAAAAAATATTATATATTAGTAGGGCATTTTAACTGTTTTTTTTAAATATTCCCTATGATTGAATTATAATTCTTTCCCTTCTTTTAGTAATTACTTTTGCATTATCTTTATCATATAAAAGAAATGTAATACTATGCTAATAACAATAATTAATTCATCAATATTGTTTTATCATTGTATAAATATAAATTGTATGCTTTATTGTTTTATTACATAAAGATGAAAAATATAATGATAACAAATACAAAGAATATTTTCTAATTATTACATGCAATATAAAATATGACAAAAAAAGTTATATAAATAATTGATGTAGAAGTTTAAATATGAGTGTTATTTAATTAATTTTTAATGTCATATTATTTGTCACAGAACTTAAGTGATACAATTCTACAATCACAAATTTTGTGGATAATGATCACAGTTCTAAACTTTATTGACAGATTACATTGAAATTCATTAATAAACATGATAACATTGAAATATTTACATTTCATTGCTTTTATTTTGTATGCCACTATAGCAACTGCTGATACATTCATCTTTATCACAGAATATATAATATTACAAACAAGATCAAAAACAAAAGTCCATGATTAAGTAATCTAAATTATATTTTTATGTGCTATAATGGCTTGAAACACAAAAAGGTTTCCTACAAAATATCAAATAATAAAAATAATATACTTTCATGAATTAGAATTTTTAACTTGACATGTAATTTAAGAGAATAGGTTACCAAACTATACATATATAAGTATAAATTGAAATAGCGTGTATTTATTAGTTTATATGTAGAAGTTGAATGAAGGTAAAAAAAGAAAAGAAAAACAAAACGCGAGAACAAATAGATTTTAAGAGGTAAAAATGAACGAAGACTAAAAGGGAAAAACAAACGAAGTCGTACTCACCGGAAAAGCACGAATACGCATTTTGCTTTCTTTCTTAAGCATAGCACTGCTATTCATCATGTCGAATTTCTAGCTGGACGAAGATTCTTTTAGAAATGCTTTCTGGCCAATGCTACGATAACGTTACACCGTGTGTACATTGACACCAGTTAAACGTAGGGAGCATTCACTCGCATACAAGGTAGAATAGCCGACGATCGGCTATCGTGTGAAAATATAATCACTCATCCACGTTCACGTTGTGTAAAAGAACCGAAAATTGTGTTGTTATCGTGGACATTTAGTAAAAGTAAGAAAAATACGCGATGTGTCGGCGAAGAGGGGGAGAAAATGAGAGACTTAGAAAAAGATAGAAGAGACAGGGGGGGGGTGAGACAGAGGAGAGGAAGGGTAAAGAGTATTCTTTTTTACCCGGCAGATGAAAATGGGAGATAAGATATTTAAGGGATAAAACGTAAAGGGGAAGGTAAATGCGAGAAGAAAAGAGGTAAGAAGGTTGAACAAAAGTAAAATGGAGAAAAAAAGAAAAAGAAGAAATATCACACACTTTTGTCACGAAGTAATGAATCTGTCAGATTTTTGTAATACACACGAACTTCGTTGATTTTGAACACGTTATCGTGATTATCGGTATGTTCTCAGTGTTTTTCGAGGCATAGTGAATTTAGATTGTGAAAACTCGAGTTTTCATCCTATGATCCGATGTTGAGTACACAATATATTATTCACAACGATATGCTCCATGCACATGAATCACGAACGCTATTGTCAGTATAGATTTGCCCATTATGAATCTCATTATTTTATAGCACTATGAGAAAAACGATTTTTTAATTTTGTATATCGTACAGATATGATATTTGAGCTTCAAATTTGTCAAATTTACCTATGAAGTATCGTAAAAAAATATTTTCAATTCAATTTGTTTAATGACTTTGGATATTACTCATGACTAAAGCAGCTGACTTCAAATTTATATTCATATTATATTTATGAATTTGTTTCTGATATAGAACCGATCGCGTTGTTTTTAACATTTACTAGTGTATAATTGAATTTACAATTTATTTCGAATTATTAAGTTATTATAATAATTCAACAAACCAATGACAATTCAATATTTAAAGAACGCTTTACATGAACTATTTTATGCAGACACTTGTCTTTTCATTTGTGTTATAGCTTAAGAATCCAAAATTATCTTTAAGTAGTCATAAAGGAAATCCTAAAATAAAATTGATTAAATTTGTGAAATTAATTAAATAAAGTTAATATAGTAATTTTTGGAAAATAATGAAATGTAATGTCTTCTTTTTAAGCGAAGTATGATTGTTTAACTTAATGTTAACCATAAAAAATTATTTCAACTAACAAAATATAGTACTTTGTGTTACTAATATATATTTATTACTTGCACTAACCTTACATTAATTCTTTTTTATATTTATGTAATGAAAATGTGAAGGACAATAAAAATTGTTATTCATTAATGCTCAATAGATTCATTTCTTAGATTTAAGTAAAATTAGTCAGGGAAAAATTTATATATTAATTATACAATTGAATTTATATTAATTTCGAATATGCTTATTTTATTTTTAAATATCTGGTAAAACAAAATTTCTTACAAGATGACAAGCTAATTTAGATTTTAAAGGTTAGTAAAATTTTCTTTAAAAGCAATGTGATTTATATAGACATGTTTAATGAAAGTAAATATTTATTGCATTTAAATTTTCGCACGAAAACATTATTTACCTATTAGAGTACAAACTTCAAAGATTATATAAAATTCGATAGATAAGGAGTTTTATTAGTATGATAACACATCATTAGTTATTCTTAATACAATATTTCATCATTTAATTGATTCAAACAATATACATTTAATTGATTTAGTTAGTTTTAAATTTATTACATTTATCTATTAATTTAACACGTTATTATTTAAAAAATAAATTTATACAGTAAAAGTAATGATTGAAAATTGTAAAAATTTAATATACGTGACATACATCATATAAGAAATTGAAAGTGTATATTTAGGATAAATGAAAATATAAGTATATTTTAATTTTATTGTTAAAGAAATATATTACGAAGATTTTTCGTCAGTTTTTTTAAAAAAAAAGAAAATAGAAATACGAAAATTAAGATTGTCTGGATAAGACTGCCATGTTTTTGCCCCACTGTTTTATCAAAGCGAATGTACATTTTATAAAAAGTGTAGCTCATGTTAAATTGGGTAGTAACAACGTTGTCTTCTTTCGGCCACTATCGTCAAAAATTTGCCAGTCATTGAGTAATTCTACGTTCTCATTTCTTAAAACATCCAGGATTTCTTCCGCAGGAATGTTGAAAATAAAGGTAAGCGATCAGTAAAGCTATATGACCGATATCTATTAACCCTGATATGTATTCCATAACATGAATTTTAATTAATTTCAATGGTAACATTATCGAATTATCTTAAGAGATATCTTGTATTGTTTTAACTATTTTCAACTATTTTATTTATTAAATAAATATATAAAATAATGTTTTTAATTCCGTATTATTACGAGTTTTTACATATATGTATATATACTGATAATAATATGACTGCATTATATATATATGTTGTATATATAGAATACATGTATTTTATGTATTAATACTATCTGTTTTAGGTTGGACCTGTAGTTGATATTTTAGGTGATGAAATGACAAGAATCATTTGGGATTCTATTAAGGAAAAACTTATTTTACCATTCTTAGATATAGAACTGCATACTTATGATTTGGGTATTCAAAATCGAGATGCCACCAACGACAATGTAACTGTAGAATGTGCAGAGGCCATTAAAAAGTATAATGTAGGAATCAAATGTGCTACTATTACTCCAGATGAAAATAGAGTAAAAGAATTTAATTTGAAGCAAATGTGGAAAAGTCCAAATGGTACTATTAGAAATATCTTAGGTGGTACAGTTTTCCGTGAACCTATTATTTGTAAAAACATACCAAAATTAATAACCAGTTGGATTCAACCAATTATAATTGGTAGACATGCTCATGCAGATCAATATAAAGCTACAGATTTCATAGTACCTGGACCAGGCAAACTTGAAATTATATGGACTGGAGATAATGGAGAAAAGATTCAACATATGGTTCATAATTTCAAGTCATCTGGAATTGCACAAGCTCAATATAATACAGATGAGAGTATCTATGCCTTTGCCCACAGTTCTTTTCAATATGCTTTATCAAAGAACTATCCTTTATATCTTTCCACAAAGAATACAATTCTTAAACAATATGATGGCAGATTTAAGAATATTTTCCAAGAAGTATATAATAAAGAATATAAAGCACAATTTGAAGACAAAAACATTTGGTATGAACATCGTCTAATAGATGATATGGTAGCATATGCAATAAAATCAGAGGGTGGTTTTGTATGGTCTTGTAAAAATTATGATGGTGATGTTCAATCTGATTCTGTAGCACAGGGATTTGGATCTTTAGGTCTAATGACCTCAGTCTTAGTTTGTCCAGATGGACGTACTTTGGAAGCAGAAGCTGCTCATGGTACAGTTACAAGACACTATCGTCAATATCAACAAGGAAAAGAAACTTCAACAAATCCTATTGCTTCTATATTTGCATGGACAAGAGGTTTACTTCATCGTGCAAAATTAGACAATAATCAAGAGCTCAAAAAGTTTGCAGAAACTTTAGAAGCAGTCTGTATCAATACTGTTGAATCAGGTTTCATGACAAAAGATCTTGCAATTTGTATCAAAGGCGTAAATAATATTACTAGATCTGATTACTTAGAAACATTTGAATTTATGAATAAACTAGCAGACAATTTGCACAAGCAATTAAAATGACGAGAATATGATTTTTCTAATAAAATGCTATCAAAGTATTAATTATATACAAAAAGATATTAATATTGGTTATGGGGAAAGAAATTGCATTTAATTTACATATCATAAATTGTAAAAATGATATGAATGAAATTAATATATTGTAATTGTGATTTTTATAAAACTGTGTTCATTAAACTTTGTTTTTATATTACTTTATTCAAATATTTTTATCCAACTGTTAATTGTAAATGAAATAAAATGAACTGATTATTCTTTTTTCCAATTACTCTACTATGATAAGAAACGTGATAACCCTATTAATTAAAGTATTAAAGTATTCATTGATATTTAAATGCATATTTTAGGTTACAATTAGTGAATAACTGCACATGCATATCAATTATATGATTCTCACTTAAATATGTGATTTTAGATAATATTAAATTGCGAATAATTATAATATTTAAATTTCTTATAAATTTGCAAATTAACAATAAATTAATAATTATGTTTACAATACTATTTTTATTAATCTATCAGTTTGTCATTTAATCTTATAGATATTTCTATTCTAACAATATGTGAGTTGAATTTTATTCAGTTTCATTCAATATATGTTATTAATATGGATTATAAAAGAAGCATATGATTAATTTTTTTAATCTTCATTTTTATTTGAAAGCGATAATTCCGTACAGTAACAATAAAAAATAAAAAGAAGATTGATGTTTTCCTCCTAGTTTTCGGAATCAGATTATTACTACGTATTTCATTAAAAAATTGGAATTTCATTACGTTATTTGCTTTCCCCACTCCCTATCCTATTACTACTTCCATTCCACGCACGTTTATTCATGTTGATTTTACGTCTACTGTGTTTTGTGTATTATAGAACATATATCATTAGTTAATTATTACAAAGTTTATCAATTAATTTATTAATTACATCGAATTATTGTGCCTTTTTTAAAAAATTTTACAAACATTCATATTATTTTTATATGCAATAATCAAAGTAATCATATTCGATAAACGATCCTGATTAATAATTAATAAAATAACTACGTAAATAATGAAAAAGAAATTTGTTGTTTTATAAATATAAAAAATAATTACAATAAATAATTTTAATGTCTTTTATTTATTAATAAATAAGCAATTTTTTAATCTTATATAACGTGTAAAAAGGAATTAGCAAGAATTAACTTTTTAATAATACATTTTGTAAATATTTCTGTATTTTCATTTATAGATTATTGTAATGTATAGCACTATAAAATATGTGAAGTTAATCTAATTTCGATAATACATATATTTACATATTTTATATTTACGTGACATATGTAACAAGTTAATTAAAAACAAATTTACTTAATAAAAAAATAAATTACAAAATGGCGTCATGTATCTGTCGAATTAACAGTTAGTATTTCCTTTTATCTCAACTATATAACTATCTCCTTTTTTACATTATAATTGGATTTCCGATATTAAAATAATGAAATAGAGTTTTCATTTATAACTTATAGATCTATAACATAATATTTAATAATAACGTATTTTTTTTTCGGAAAGTAACTTTTTCTTTTAGTCAGAAAAAATTTAAAAGTTATGATTTTGAAAATTTAATATTTAAATAAGAATAAGTATAAAATATAGTGTGAGTTTATAAAAGAAAATGTCCAAGATTATATTATATAAAAAACATATTAAAGTTATTGAAATTGAATGTTCCTATATATAAAAGTAGCAGATAATTTTCAACGATGTGATTTACTAATTGTTGGATAAAATTGTTAGTTTTTAATAATATTATAGAATTCGTAAAATTATGTAAACAGAAGCAATAACAAATGTTGGAAAAGTTCTAGAACTATTCAATTTAACAGTCATAGATCAGACATCACGAAGGTAAATTATTTACAATTTAGAATTCTTATTTTAATAATAAAAAAATTTAACGTAATAATAGCAATTGTATACACTCACACCTTAACTTATTTTACTATTTATTTTTTAGTGAAATGTGCTCTTTGTACGAAAAATTAAGGATTGATCAAATTAAGAATGATAATTATAATTGTTTTGCATATGATGAATATTAATATCAAAGCTATGATGTAATACAAAATAATTAAAGTAAAATAACAAGTAAAATCATATTGTTGTCATTTTGTTCTTAAAACTTAGTCTCATGAATCTTGCATATCCTCAATACGGAGATATTTTTTAACATTAAGATAATATATCTTCTATGTTTAACGAGTTAACCATCGTCATCATCAGTTCATTCTGTTCTCCTGCAGTTGTATCGAGGGCTGCAGGAGAAACCAGATTGAGGAAGTGGGGGCGTGTGAGGAGTTTATGGATACCAGAATCAGAATTGGAATTGCAGATGGCGCCCGACCTGCGCCACTTCGGCATCGCTATCGTTCTGTACGAGTTGGTGAAAGAGGAGGGAGGGGCTGGTTCTCTCTATTCGTAGTCTTTCTACAATTCATCCTTCGTTTTGTCGGCTACTGTTAGCGCCGATGACGAGGTATTCGAAGATAAATTGCGGTACCAAGATAAATCGAGCTAACCGTGTTGAGAAAGAAAAAGGAAGGAAAAGCAGGGAGGAAACAAGGGTCCAACGAGCATATCCTATTTTTTTTTAACATTGAAAATCTTAAACATCATGTTAAATTCGGTGTTCCTGGTTGGCTGCATAAATCGATTGATACGAGATCGTGGATTTATTGGCATATCTATTTACAATGGTCACTCAATCAGAAGATAACCTGCTTCCAGTGAATTAACTGCTCGAGGTTTGTTTTTTAGTCAACGAAATCGAGTATTTAATTTCCTCCCTGTTTTTCTTGATTCGTGGTATGCACACACGCGTATACGCTCTAAACGATACCTATCAAATCGTCGTTTGACTGTAAACCGGAAATCACTTGGAGAAACAGAAATCGCATACGCGTGTCGAAAAACCGATTTTCTCTCTCTGTTATTTTTATGCCATCTTTCTTCTTAAATCGTTCGTGTTAGCGAAATTTATTTAACATTCATTGAAATAACAAAGAAAATATACATTTTATCACAAAAAAGAAAAAAAATATTGAGTTGATCTTTGTAGAAGTTATAAAAGAAAGAGAAGACTTCATGCATAAAATAATATGACGTTCCAGTTATACATTGACTCGTTGCGATTGACCATAGTATCAGAGAAACCGGATGTCAGGAATAGAAAAGATGAGTTATTGAATATAATTACATATAAGATGTCAAACAAGTAGCTACTGCAAATGAAAAGAAGATCAATCAACTTTTATTATATTCTATTATATTCTATATATTCTATATATTCAAAACGTGAGCATAATAATGGTAGAATAGATATTTTCAAAAATATATGTAAAGATTTTGTATGTTACTGTTGATTCAAACTAACCGTACTGAACGAAAACTTATATAAGATACATATAATGGTATATTAAGTTTTTTATTTTCTAGAGAAATTTAGTTTTTTATATCTATGTTAATAATTTTAAACAATATATAAATTAAAGAACTTCTTGTATAATCGATGTTATTGTATGAAGTATTAATGAGGTCACAAGTTCTATTGTTATCTCAATAATGTTGTAGAATCAAATGTATAAGAAATGGATAAAATTTGATCAAACTATATTGTTTTAACCTTTAAGTTTACTTCGCGACGTAATCTTACAAAAATAAGAATTCTTCGTGAGAATGTTGATCGTTTTCCTCGTCAGCAGTTTTACTAGTAAAGAAAAAATGGCGCCTATAGCCTCTAGATCGCGCGACCACCGAGCGTGCTGTACTCGCACTTCCGTAACGTGCACCAGCAGTTTGTTATCGCAATTCGATAAATTGATGGACAAAAATTTGATAAATTTTTTCTTTAAAATTATGCTTGATATGAAAACTTATTCCGATTCTGTAATTTATAATCGCTAACGAAACCGTTTTTAAAATTTTCACCTCTGTAAGGATGTATACGCGATATAAAGTGGCTTCACGTTAATGTCATCGAGAAGGAGAAAAAGGTGTAGATCAACGAAGAAGTGAATGTTATTCTCTTTTTACGCTGATATACGATTCAAAAGATGAAGTAGAAATAAAAGGATATCTCGATGCGCGATAGGGCTACAAGAGAACAGACGTTGGACAGAACGGATCTCGTCCAAGATGTCAGGAAGACTGCCCCGATTGCGTGCACTTCGTCCACGACCCCAGCAGCTCAAAACGGAACCACATAAGGAAGGTAACCTTAAAGAAAATCGTCAGGAAATTGTGATGAGGGAACACGAATTGCAGAGTGATACCGAGGACATTTCGTACAGTGTCAAAGACGTTGGCCCTATAAAGAACAATCTGAAGCATGAACATGAGGGGTTCGATTGTTCGGGACCCTCGCAAAGTTACGAGTGTAAAACATGTAAACCTTCGAAGCTTTTGTCGAGTCTTAAAGCATATCTCGATCATCTGAAAAAAGAGCATAAACAGAAGGTATATTATTTTAAAAGAATTGTAGCAATTACATTTATACTAAAATATTATTTATTAATTTTATCAAATAAAAATTGAATGGGTATTTTTATTCATTTTTGAATTAATATTACCAGACTTAATATTATTTTGAGAAATAGCAAATTGTATAGATTTAAAAGTAAAATATATTTAATATATTAATGATAATGTGCAACATAATATAGTAATAATGTATTATTAATAATATATCATCAACTGATGTTTGAATAAATTTCTTTCTATACAAAGTATTTTAAAATAATATTTGTATATTTAAGACATTTTCTAATGAGAAATACAATAATTTTTAGGGAAAATTCATACGTGATACTGGAAATCGATGTTCTATGTGTTCATATGTTGGATTAAACTCAAGGGATCTTGAAACTCATCAGAGAGTACATCATTTAAAGAGAAGGTTTTTCCGGTGTGCTAAGTGTTCTTATGTAACACATGTACGTGCTCGATATACAAAACATGTGAAGTATCACTCAATGCCAATGATTAAGTGTGATGCCTGTGATTTTCGTACACCATACAAGGTTAATACAAATTTTACAAAATATAGTAAATTAATATCCTTTTTTTTTTTTTGATAAAATACTAATAAAATAATTTTTTTGTAGTGGAATTTAGATAGGCATACTCGAAATCATGGAGGTGGTGGAGCATTTCAATGCCGTGCCTGTAATTTTACTGCTGATATTAGACAAAGTTTAACAGTACACGAAACTAATCATCATGAACCTCCTGTGGGTCAAACGAATCGTAAATCTAATACACCTTTTGAACGCAAACCAAGAAATAGTCCTAAACGTTATAATCAGGTAATATGATAATTTATCTTATAAATAATAATTAATAATTAGAAAGGCATTAAAAATATATCAATTTCAGGTGGGTGCAAGTGATTTCCGGGAATCACTACACATATCTGGTAGTACTACAGTTTCAATCAGCCCTGGTGATTCATTCATTTCTGATCAATCTATGGAAGATAAAAGGAGTGCAATAGCTAATGCAGAATGTATAGCATTAAAATGTGAAGAAAAAGGCTGTCAGTTTATCACTGCATGGGATTCTGAGATGCAACGACACTTAGCAGAATGTCATGCTCCAATTACACCAAATAAATCCAGGAAACCACTGCCAATGTTAATACCTCTAAGTCCTGCTAAGTTAAATAATATTACCTCTAGTGGACCTTCAACAACATTGTTAAAAGTTCCGCGTGTTAGAGTAAGACCGGAACTCGCGCAAATCGCAAGAGACACAGAACTGGCGAAATTGTATGGGAATAAAGAAGTTAGTTACTCCTTTTTTTTTTCTATTAATTATCGCCTGTATGATATTTTAATTTAAATAAATTTTCCACAGACCAGCAACTTAAAGAAGGATGCGAATAATGCGGCAGATTTATTTGAAAAAAAAAATGCGTCCTTCTTTGATAAGCTTAAGGAAAAGCTTACAACGACAGCGTCAATTAATAATGGAGTGCCGGAGGTAGCTGTAAGTACTACGAACGATTTGAAATGCTGGTGTACTTTTAAAGCTAGTAGCATGGAAGAGCTGGCTTGTCACAAACAAACACATCACACTGCTCTCAGTGTATCTGTGGGCACAACGCGTTGCCCGAAGTGCAGGAGACGTTGCAAAAGTTCGACTGATCTACAAGTGCATATGCAGTGTTGTCACTCGACAAGCAACGATACGACAATACACAATAGCTTAGAAAAATTATCAAATTGTTCAGAACTCCGTGTGACCTCGTATCGCGGTGAATATGCATTCCCAGCGCAAATGGATTGGGACATTAATCTCAGCGGAGTCAATTCTTCTGGATCATCGGTATGGTGTTTCACAGAAATAATAATATTTACTTATCGCGTGCACATGAATAATATGAACACACGCACACGAACGAATAATAATAATAACATCGTGAAAAAATTGCAATACGAGAGTCAACAGATCTGACTATTTTTTTAATTCGTGTCAACTATATTTTGAAATATGTTAATTGTAAGCACCCTGTACGGCCATTAGAATAATATATTTAAAATTAGCTTAACATATATCAATTTTTGTTCTTCAAAGTATGCAACGCAATCATAGGCTACTATTAATTATGTTGATACATATATGTTTTTTACTATTTATACATTATACATTTTTTTATTATTAAGAATGTGCTTTAAATGTTACTTATGGCAGTCGAGACCATAGACGGTTGTGTTTCCGAATGTGTTAATACTTAATTTTGATAAAGGTAGTCAAATCTTTTGTCAGGTTGAAGACTCCTCGACGCATCCAAGTGGCCGACGGGTATTCAAATGCCCGCATTGTCCATTTTGGGCATCCACCGCAAGTCGTTTTCATGTTCATATTGTCGGTCATTTAAATCGGAAGCCATTCGAGTGTTCCCTGTGCGCATATCGCTCTAACTGGCGGTGGGACATCACAAAACATATTAAACTTAAAGCAGCTAAAGATCCAGTTCATATGACTGCCAGGGTACTTATGACGGATGAAACAGGTCGACGGAATTATTCCAAGTATAACAAATATCTTGCACAGGTGAAAGCATAAATTTCACTTACATTTAAATTCTTTTATTAGTGGAAAAAAGGGTGCTTGTCGATTTTCATAGGCGCACTGATATTTTTTTATAGTTTCTCTTGACATTACTTTGTAACGAATTTCCTTCTCGTGACAAGCACGTGTGATGATCCTTACAAATAATCAGAAAAGTTGAGTTGAATTAAGAAAGAAAGAAAAAAAAAAGAAAAAAGCAAATGTTGAAGCGCTTGGACACTTGATTGGTATTATGATGTTAATCTTATTGTAATTACAAGCATATTCTTAGTAATTAAAACCGACACAATAACATTTCAAATGTTCCATATCACTAAAAGTGATTTTGCATTTTATATGAAACTTTATTTTTTGTTACTACAAAAGAAATTCTCAGTGTGCCGAGTAGTTATTTTTTTGCTGAGTAATAAGTTGTTCTTCGTTGTGCAGCAGTGTATCACTTATATGTAAAAAAAAATTCTATATTACATTGTGTAAACTTCTTATCTTTTCTTCTAGGTCGAGCAACAGTCGTGGGATGATCAAAACATAGAAGAACATAGTGTAGAAGAAACAAATTCCGATGAACCTCCAACTAAATTATTGATAATGAATAGCAACGAATATCTCCAAACATCGGACATCGCGTCTACTCCCATTTCGATTGTATCTGCAAACGAAGGAAATCATAATCTTAACACCATTAATATCGGATTAAAATCACCGCCACCTCTTAAAGCTGCTGCCCGAAATCGAGGGCAATCTTTACTTAAAAACAATTTGATTTCGTCTCATGCACAGGCTGGTTTGAGTGGATCCACATCGGTTGTGATCACAGAAGAAAATAAACGCACAATGTGGAAATGCAAGCGTTGTAACTTTAGACACTCAAATAGAGAAACCGTGTCTATGCATGTTAAGTCTCATAGTGAATCTGAACAACGTTTTGGAGATGAAAAAGTATGTATTTATTTTAATGATTATACTGTCCAACGCGATTTTTTTTTTTACAATACGCGTTGAGTGGTTCTTGTAGAATTATTCGCCTTGAATATGAATCCGTATGCAGAATTGTTGTATCACCCTCAGATTTAAAAAAAATTGAATTTTTTTTTTAAATTATCAATTTAAAAAAAAAATGAAGTATAGGAAATTCATATTAGATAAATAAAATTTCGTAAAAATATAAAAATAATACACAGAAACAAAATTAAAATTCTAAAATTAAAATGTAAAAATATTACACAGAAACAAAAATATTATAATTATAGATATTAATATATTTAGGGATTTTCCTTTGTCATTTGAAACCAATTATTGTTTTCTAACATTCCTAATTTTCATGCAATACTTCGTTTTTTGTTAAAAATCGACAATTTTTACAAAAATTCGATTTTTTCGAAAACTGATGGTAGGACAACAATTCTGCTTACGGATTTGTAAACAGAGTTCAGGGCGAGTAACTCTACAAAAATCACCCAATGCATATTGTAAAAAGAGGAAAAGTTAAAATTTGTTGGACAGTGTTATTAGTATTACTTAATATATCAGAAAAATAATATACTTGTGCTCTATATGTGTTTATAGAATGCATTTGGGTGTGGAGATTGTCCATTTTCTGCACCTGATGCAGCGACTTTATCGATGCATAGAATTCATCATCGTCCAAACTTGGAAGCCATTTTTAAATGTTATTTGTGTCCATATTATGTTAGCACAAAAGCGTATGTATTTATATACCTAATTTAACTATTTAATTAAGTTAATTTTTATACGCTTAAATTTATATTTTTGAAAAATATTTATTTTATTGCTATAGAGAACTTTTGGATCACGTTAGACTTCACGGAGAAGAACTTGCTGTTGTACATCAACAATCTATGGACTATAATTTCGCTACTAAGTCTAAAGTACGTCGAACTTTAAGCACCGATACTAGTAAGTTAACCAAATTTTTTATCAGTAATTATAAATCTAATTTACATTTTAGTTAAGAAAAAAAATAATTTATTTGTTTGGTTAAAAATTATTGTTTCAGGTATTAGTCGCATGAAGCAAGAAAAACCTGCAGAACAAGTAATACACATAACGACGCAAAATAACATGACTTGTTTCACGAATACTTCGAAGAATTCTGGTGCGCCACCACCACCACCATTACTCCTTGATACCCGAGCACTGCCTGAAGCTCCACTAGTGTGGGTGTCCCGACCAGATGGTACACTTGCAAAAATGTTAAAATGTCGTCACTGCCCCTTTGTATCTTCACGACGCGCAGAAGTTCGAGATCACGAGACTATGCATCTTGATTCTCCTAGTAATGGTCCTATAGTTGCTTGTACAGATTGTAGTTTTACTTGCACTCGACGAGAAGTTATGGTCGCACATACAGACATGCATTCTGGATCGTTAGGTACTGTTCATTGTTTGGTAGACGATTCCAGACCAGATTCACAGCAATTAAGCGATCTAGCTGCGCTTCTTGGCTTCACTCATTCTCCTGTATTAGGTTCTGAACCTGATCTGCGGGATTTAAGACTTGTGCATTGTTGTAGCAAATGTCCAGCGCGATTTCTCTGCGAAAAGGAATTAAGAATCCATTTAAGATATCATTCTACAGAATTAGCTTATTCATGTCAATGGTGTTCCTATGCTGCTAGACAAACAGCTCATCTTTTAGCTCACCAGAAAGCACATTCTACAGAATATCAAGAACGAACCAAATATTTATTGTCTCTATACGGCCATTCACAGCGATATCCCCCACCTACCACAGCGTGTGTTGAAGCAAACAGTCAAGACTCAAGTAATTCAACATCTACTGTTGCTTGGATTGTAGTTGAAGTTACAGAAACCTCGAATAATGGTTTTAATAATAGTATTAACAATACGAATCAGCGAACTGGAAATCAAGTGTTCACTTGTGCCAAATGTCCGGCTCGTTATTTTAAATTAGACGCTCTGGAATATCATATGACTTTGCATGGGTCGAACAATAGGTTTAAATGTACGGAGTGTGACTATTCATCAAAAACAGCTCAAAATCTGGTGAAACATCAGGTAGTTCATCGACGTCAAAACGAAACGAGCAACTTAACTTCAAATTTGACCCCTCTTCCTGATCCACAATTTGGACTTTTTATGCGTGGAAATCCTAATTTTGTATATCCTGGTTATCTAAGGAATGGCCGATTAAAAGAAAAGCGATACAAATGTCATAAATGTCCTTCTGCTTTCGAGAAACGAGAACAGTACAGAGTTCATTTAACTCTGCATGGTGCAAAACAAAGATATCGTTGCGATACCTGCGATTACTCCGTCAAATATTACGCCAATTATATTCAACATCTAAAGAAACATCAAGCAAATGCCGAGGCGCAAGCTTCACGTAGACAATTTGAGGATGATACTATTACAATTGACAGTGATACCATTTCTGATAATATAGGTTCTCTTTCACGTTCCGGAAAAACGCTTAAATCATCCAATAATTCAACATCAGTCATATCTACAAATGGGATGTCAATGTTAAATTTTGGTGGAGCACAAGCCTCAAATCAAGATAAGCAGTCTTTAATGTTGTTACAAAAGAAAGGGATACTTTTATCTTCTAATGACGAAGTAGAGATGTTACGATGCCAAAGTTGTCCATTTTCTACCTGTGACAAAGATGCGATGGATGCCCATAAGCGTCGACATGGTATCGAAAGAATGACGCCATCTTGTCCTCATTGTGATTATATACCACGAAAAGATGAGAATGTCGGTGAACACATTAGATTACATTTTACAAGACTTTATAAACCAGAATCCTATCTTATTATAGAATTATTAACATTGACAATGAGGAAAATCGCTTCAAATGGGAAGGAGGAGAAACAAAAGGCTGCCGAATTACTTTTTAAGGAATATGCGGACGGAAGATTCTTTCCGTTTACCGATACAAATTCCTTTGGTTGTTCTTCTGCTATGAGCAGTTACAAAGAAAAAGTCATAGTAGATCCAAATACAGGAGAAACAAAGCATTTAACTGTTTAAAAATATTAAAATTAAAAAAATACCTGCATAATGTATATTTCTCTGTATATAACAAATGTATGACGCATTTTAGGTGTTTATGAATATTTTCTATATTCTTTGGTCCAGCAAACTAAAAGAGAATAGTTGAAAAAAAAATGATTACATTCCAAATAGTAAGTTATAAAAACGAATCTGCATGAAAGTGAACATGGTTTGGTTTATAGCATTGCTACATGTACAGAAAAAATCTTAATGAATGATAATACGCATAATTGCTATTGTAATTAATATAAGCAACCGCAATCATAATCATACTCATTGAGATGAATATTTTTCAGCGTCAAATTTAATGCATTATAGGTAGGAAACAAAGCCGTACTTTATTCATTTATTAAACGTTTCTCCACACACATAGTTTAATGTAACTGTATATAATATTTGAATTCATCGATCTTGTACGATACAGAAATAAACGAATGCTACATAGATTTATGTTTATATGTCCTACAATGGCTTTTAATTTTTGAAAAGCGTTGGGTCTGTTACTAAATTTTTTTTTTTAATTATGATATTAACAATTTGTGTTAAATGGTGTTTTCTAAAATACAATGATAATACGATCTTCAAAAAGTTTTATTTTTTATAATTCTATTTGCAAAAACATTCTTTTCTAAATAATTTTTTTCTGTTTTTCTACGATGTTAATAAATGCAAATATATTTGAAAAATTATTTAAAAAACTGTATAAATTATTGAGATTGTTCAGTAAAATTCAGTATACATTTTTTGAGTAAGTGGAGACAATTGTACGTAAATTTGTGGTTCTAAGGAAAAACGTCACATGTTATATATTTTTATTTTTAAGGTATATTTTGAAGTTCTGAATATCAATTCCTTTTATTAGTATTCATTTAAGCTACCTAAGTTTTTTAAAGACATTAGATTTGTTTTATCAATATTATTTTTTCATAAATATGTGAATTATGTGTTTTACAATTTAATTAACGAATAAATTTGAATTTTTCAGAATTATGACATATGAAGTTTTTCCAGAGAACCATAGAAATGTCCTATCCGGCGCTAGTCCCGGAATTCCAAATCGTAAGGAAGCAAGATCAATAAAATCCTGTAGTTTCGCGCATGACAGAATTTATTTTACAAATTTCTTAAGGTTATGAGAAGAACTCGTGTTAGAAAACCGTGTTGCACCGAATGCGATAAATAAACAATATAATATATCTAGTTAAATGCAGAATAATGTTCGAAGGTGCAATAGCGACGTTTTTAAATCGGCTTCTGGGGAAGTATATTGAGGATTTGGATACGGAACAGTTTAACGTTGGTATCTTTTCTGGCGATACTTGCCTTACTGATCTTAAGTTGAAACCCGAAGCTTTGGTAAATATATTTTATTTTTATATTAAATATCTTTATTAAATGTGACTAAAGAAAAAAAAATATAATTTAAAAATGATAATATCTTTTAATTTATAGTATCAGCTTGGTTTGCCTATTAAAGTAGAAGTTGGTTTGATAGGAAAGATTGTTTTAAAGATACCATGGTCTGGTCTATTTTCTCAACCAATTATTCTTTGTATTGAGGTAAGAAAATATATGCAAATTTTTTCTGTTTATTACATTCTTTAGTTGATGTCAAATAATATTCAGTTATAATATGACAATTTTTTTAAGGATATCTATATAGTAGCTGTACCAGCTGCTTATGGTCCATATGATGCAGAAATACAAAAAAAGTTGATAAGAGCAGAAAAAAAGAAGATATTAGAAGATTTAAAGGAAGATGAAGCATTTAAAACAGGTAGTTCATAAATTTGTCCAATTGTTTGTATCATATTTTCACTTATATAATTTATTTTAGAATTATTTAATAATTTTCTGGCATCAGTAACAAAAAACTTTCAAATTACAATAAATAATATACATATTAGATATGAAGAACAGCTAAATGAAACTCTATGTGCTTGTGGTATTTGTATTCAAAGTGTTTCAGTAATGACTACAAATAGGTAAACATTTTATTTTTGTTATCATCTTTTTAATATGATATACATCTAATATATTTTTATATAATAGTAAATGGAAACCTGGTATTTGTACTAATAATTTGAGTACAATTTATCAATTAATAAGGGCAGAATCATTAAGCATATATATGGATCATGATACAGAATCTGCACTTACATGCATCAAATGTAATTGGGACATATCCAGTTTTCTAGCATGGAAAAGTACAATGCACAGAGCCTTGCAAACCTTTGGCATGAAGAATAAAGAGTTTCAATTTTGTAAGTTTATTGTTTTATTTAAAAACATAGCTTTTTGTTTAAGTATAGTTAAGGAAATAAGAATATTATGTTGTAGTATTGAAACCATTTACTGCAAAAATAAAAGTAATTATACATAAAGGAAATGAGGCACAAACATCTCGCATGTTGGTTGATATTGTCCTTCATGATGTAGCAATGCAAGTTTCCAAAGTACAATACATTACTTTTTGTTATCTTTATAATTCATTATTACGTGCAATTATTAACAAGTATGTATGTTAATTACTACATTTTTGTCTATTTTATTTATAATGTTATCACATAAAATATTATTTCAGACCATATGTAAAATATCGTCCATGTGAAATTGTTAAAAATAATCCCTCAGCTTGGTGGAAATATGCTTATAATTCGGTTTTAGATTATAATGTTAAACCTTATACTTGGACAAGAATTATTGAACACAGAAAAAACTACAGAAAGTACAAAGAAGCATGTTTACAAAGTTTGCTCCGACCGAATGACGCAGAACTAAAACTGGATTTACAAAAATACGAAGATTGTTTGACTATTTTAAATATAGTAATAGCCAGAGAACATGCCAAACAAGAATTGAAAAATAAAATAATTGAAGAAAAACATCAAAATATGAATATCAATATTTCAATACACAAAAAAGTTTTAGTTAAAAATGTGCAAGATAATGGCATGCAAGGACAAAATATTAAAAAGTTGCATCATGTTAGTAATGATTCAGGAAGAAAGATAGAATTGGAAAAATTACCTCAACCAATTGGTACAATTTATCAGATTAATTCAATTTAAATAAGTATATTACAGTAATAATTTTTTATATCCTGTTTTAGATTATAAATTCAATTTTACTTTAGCAAATTGTTGTTTAAGTCTTTTAAATCATAATAAAGAAATCCTTGTTGTAACTATAACTCAGCTATTGACAAGTTTTGAAATACGACCTGTGGTATCTGCTTTTAAAGTGTCTGCTCGAGCTGAAAGTTTTGTAATTGAAGGTATTTCGGCAGAAGATGATCTAGTGCCACTAATTATGGTGGACAATGTTCTAACAGGTACCAAAATTTAATTTATTAAGGATTAAATTTTATTATTTATTTTATTATTACTTATTTTGACAGGGAATGTATCAACAAATTTTTTAGCAGTAGATTTTGAGAAAAATGGAAAAAACGTAGATCCCACTTTTGATGTTTCTATAAAGCTGGAAGCTGTAGAAGTGACTTATAATTATGTAATTATATCGTTACATGATAAACTTACATAAAAATATTTATTTATTTCCATGCAAAATGATACCTTATTACATTTTAGCATGCAATGATGGAAATCATTAAATTTTTTAAATTTAATGATTCATATATTCAGACATCAATTTTGTGGGTGTACGAATTGTATGAACACATGAAAAGGAAATTTTTGATTTTAATAGATAATATGATATCTCAAATGCTTCGAATCAGTTTCAAAGTAGATGTTAAAGGACCATACATCGTATTTCCCGAACATGGATCAATACAGAAGTGTGTATGATACAAAATATTGATAAATTTTTTAATTTATTCGACTTTGGAAGTAACATAAAGGCATTTCAGAGGTGGACACATTCTTGTAGTGGATTTTGGTAATATGAATTTATATAACGAACTTCAAGCTACCAACTTGCAACTTGAAGATGCAACACTCATGGAATTGGAAGAATTACTATATGACAGAATTCACATTGTATTTTCTGGTGCTCAAATACTACTTTGTCACTCTGGTTACTATTTCTTTTTTTATAAACACTATAGAGAAGTTATCAAAAAGGTCCTTATTCATAAATTTTATTTATTTTTAAATATGTTGTAGAAATCAATATTTTGAACAATTTTTTCATTTATAAACATATAATAAGTAGTCGATTTTAGTTTCTGAAATGTTCAGAAAAAGCTTTTAATATCATACATCTAACTCTGTATGCATGTATATGTCCAAAGTATATGTGTATATATATCGATTATCATTGTCATAATGTGCAATATTCGATGCAATAATATATCAAAAGCCTTTTGCGAATATTTCGGAAATTAAAGGAACAGCCAATTTATTCAAAAGGAAAAGATAAAAATAAACAAAATCCATGAACCTCAAAAGGAATCTCCTCAATAACTTTACTAATTCTTTTTATGAACTTTAATACGTTTACTTAAGATATTTTTTATTTTATTACAGGAGATGATTGGAGATCAGCAAGGAAAAAAAAGGATTCTGAATATCATTTTCTATCAAAGGTACAAGCAACTACAACTATTTCATGCAGTATAAAACCAGAATATCATCAGTTACCAAGGTATCTTCTAATTTTTTGATATATTAAAGTATATTATTATAACTATACTCTTATATTGTATCATCTTTTAGGATTAAAGTCAATGTTTCTATTTCGAGTATAAAATTTAATTTATCAGAAAATAAAATACGATTGATTGTTTATTTCTTAAATTTATTACTGTTGGCATATCAACAGAACATAGAAAAATATGAAGGTGATTTAAAACAGTATATTTCTAAAAAAAGTTTGAACAAGATTTTCACATCGATCAAAGAGCTTAAAAATGTACAAGATAGTGTATGTTTATCATCAATTGAAACGATACAAAACAAATTCACACACGTAACTAAGGATCTTCTGACAAATCATGTTCATAAACTTGATAGGTAACGAAGTAAGATTAAATACTAATGTACAGAATATATTTTTCAATATCTGGATAAGGTGCAATTATTTTATTACAAATAAATTATATGTGCAATTTATTTCTTTTATGCAATAGAAGTGTTGTATCTTCTGAAGTTAGTGAAGAAGATTTAGAATTATTATCAAAGACCATAAGTTTGTCTGGATTCGATGACAATATATCTCCATATAATCATATCAATTTCTTGTTGAGATTTGCTATTGGAGAGGTATTTTTTATATATAATTTTCTATTAAATTTAATTTAATATTTAATATTATAAAATAAATTTTGTAATATTATTTAGTTATACTTCCAAATGTTTAGATATCAGTTCACTTGGGAATTATTCATTGTGGAAGAGAAGAACCATATTTGAATTTAAGATTACATACATTGTATCTTGAAACTGCGATAATGGAATATGGTCCTGCTATACAATTTGGTATAGGATCTGTTCTTTTGGTAGATAAAACAAATGCTGGAGTTACTGGATCATATTTGGAATTAATATCTACAGAAGAACCACATGAAGTTTTTGTTGTATCATATCGTAAGGTACTTTGTGATGAAATTCAAATTTCTTTTTGTTTATTTAATTTTTCTGGATTGACATCTTTTTTAGGTCAAATCGAACTGTCCCGATTTCAAGTCTCACTTCAAAAGTATTGAAAGGTCTCTTGCTATAAATATATGGAATATTAATATAAATTTTCATAGACCAGCATTATTAAAATTACGCGAATACTGGTGTAATTTAATGAAGTAAGTACTTATATTTTTATTATCATTTAATAAGAGACAATTGTGGGTGATAGATTTTTTTTAGCATTTTTGAAAACAAGAATTTGTTCAACTTCATGGAGAGTACATGTTATAAAATTGTACAATGGAAAACAAAAGAAGACGATCCGCCTATTCCTCCTGGTAAAGAATTAGTATTCAAAAAATTTTATTTGTCATTAATCATTTTTTTAATATTTTATACTTTTTAGGTGCTATAAAGCTAAACTACTCTGCCCGACTTAGCGTTCTCGTTGTAAGATTTTGTGATAAAGATATGGATTTAATAGAAATGCAAGTTTTGGGCCTAGAGAACGATTGCATTTATAATGCCAATGAAAGAATGGTGTTACGTGCGCACATTAGACGTCTATCGATTGAAGACTTGAACGAGGATACACTCTATTCAAAAGTAAGTTTTCAATTCATTACATGTTTCACTAAATGTAATTTAGATTCACAATTTTAAATATTTCTTTACAAGCTTTTAACTACAGAAGAGGATAAGGTTCTTGACCTAAAATACGTAAGACATATGCCAAGACTATACACAAGTTCGTTATCGGACATCGATTCTCAGCAGGATGATGTGATGTCAGATGGAACATTTAAGCTATCCATTGGGAGGATGAATTGTGTGCTTATTTGTAAAATATTATATGATTTAAAGGTACAACTTCAATATCTATATATTATTATTATTTTATAAGTAATAATGTTAAAATTTTTCTTTATTTTCACAGTATTTTTTATCACCATTTACTTCTACATATTGTTTCCAATTTAAAGAGTACCTAATTAACAAACTTATGGGTGGAATTGGAGAATTTAAAAAAAGTGCAACGAAATTACACATTTTTATTGATATTCAAGGTCCTATATTTCTGTTGCCTCAAAGAAAAGAAGTTCCAAGTCTACTAGTATTAAATACAGGAGTATTATCAGTCGAAAATTTTTTCAAAAAAGTCGATCAGTCTATCCAGAATGTTAAAATGACCGACAATGACACAAACCAATTAATAATTGATAATATTCTAGTAAAATTAAACAATATGACTGTATCGAGAGCAATTATGACACTTAGTCGAGATTTGGAAATTCAAGTAAGACATAATACTTTAAACAATTGTTTTATTTTAAATGTTTACTTAAGTGATATTTAAATAAAGAAATTTAAATAAATGTTTAATTTACAGGAACCAATCATTGAGCCGGTGCATATTCATTTTGATATTAATAGGAAGACAGAATATCGTAGTGCAATGGAATTTCAAACATATGGGTTATTTAACATACAAGGTTCTATGGATTTTGTGTACATTAATTTAAGCCAAAGAGATCTAAAATCTAGTATATTAGTGTGGAAAGACAATGTTTCTAAAATTATTTTATTCAAAGATATGTACAATAATGAATCACAATCTGCCATAACAGGCCAATTGAAAAAAAATAATGAAGATGCAATGGTAAAGAAATTGGAAGATTTTCTCACACACAATGAGAATTCTGTATGTGAAATTAATACAAAATTAAATTTAGAAGGATTACAATTAAATTTGTTTTTAGATTCTGAGGAGGTGAGTTATCTTTATTATTCTATCATATAAATAATTTAAATTTATTTTCAATTTACTGCAGGTATTAAGCTCGCCAGTTCGTGATTTAAATCATGGTTTATGTAAATTAACGTTTGGAGAGATAATCAATACATATGCATTTTACAGTGATAGAAGTCTGAAAATGAAATTATCTCTCCAGAGCTGCCTTTTACAAGACACTAGAAAAGACTCTCAAAGTATAAAAAGGTTTGTATTTTGATATTCTTTCTTCATTTTATAATTTTGATGTAATTCTTAATTAATGTTGTCATCTTTATTGCAGAATAATCCAATCACCAGCAAGACAAATAGAAACGCAACCTGAATCTTGTATATCCATTTCAATGTCTCCTATTGTCGACATTACATACACTCGTGCACCAACTGGAGAGAAATGCTTTGATGCACTTATTCAAGAAGTTAGAATAAACTTATCTGTACCATTCGTCATATATCTGACCCGATACATTATGGATTCTTTTCCGAGCGATCAGTTCGAAGAAGGAATTATTAATCATGGATATGAAAATAACAATTCTACAATAGTAAGTGACTGTATTTATTAAATTATTCTTTATATAAGCATATATCCATTATATTAAATATAAATCAGTACTTATTTGGGAATATTGATCATTTTTTTAATATATACTTGTTTTATATCAAGAGCAGGGATATTATTACTGCTGAAAAGAATAAATTAAAATATGCACGATATTTTATAGAGGAACGAGGTATTTATGCATATGTATTGTAGTTTAACACTTTTATTATTATTTTTCAGTTTATATAAAAAATATACCATTTCTTTACAATTAAGTATTAATGTTTTATGTAATCCAGATGCTTCAGTATCTGTAAGGATACGTAAACCAGAAATATTATTTTTCGGAGACTTGAAAACAAATAACGCACACATGATTGTATTACAAGCCGAAGTATCGATAGAAAGTAGTAGACATAATTGCTCATCGTCAATCGTTTACACGCTTTCTGACGTGCGGGCCAAATCAAAAAAACAAGGCAATTATTCGCACCATATTCCTTATTGGTTACTATGTCCCTGCGATATCGAAATTTGTAGAAAAGAAGAAGCACCCGAGTTCAATATTAATTATGTCATCGCAGTGAATAAGATCGATGTTCACCTTTCAGTAGAAATTATACACACATTTATCAGTGCAAGTATTAGTATAATTAGTCTTTTTTTAGTTCCAAAATTTTAATAAAATGTCATAACTTTAGATAATGAAAGTTACATATATATTTAGATACTGAACGAAGCTACAAGCTTTATAGATAGCATCAATGTGAAATTAGAAGATAGATATGCAAATGAAGAGTTTCATATGCATACTAATTTGTGGACGCCAAAGAAAATTTCGAACATACCATATAAAAAATTACATGGTGATTAATTTTATTACGTAAACAAATTTTTTGTGTTAGAGTAATTCTTATAGATTGTTTTACAGATGATTCACATTTAATTTACGAATGCAGTGATCAAGTGGTAACTGTTAATTTGAAACCATTAATGTTATGTTTGCTATTGGAGATAGAACATTCAGTGGAAAGATTTCCTGTTATAAAAGTAGACAGCATAATTACAGCTTTTATTAATGATTGGTACAATGATTTTAGTTTAGAATCAAATATCAAAGTTCATGCATTCTGTTACAATGTGGACTATAAAAACTGGGAACCTCTGATTGATCTATGTTCAGAAGATGATATAACCTACAGATCATGGAAATTAATAATAAAAGTAAGTTTCTTAACATCGAATACAATACATTTTTGCCCTACATATTTTTTACTGTATATATAGATGCATCATGGTGAAGCATTCATGATAAATTCAAATTCAACTGATTCATACCAACACATAAAGCAGGATACATCCAAGACCAAGAGAAAAGGTTTGAGGAATATTGATCAAGATATTACAGATATGGTTTTCATAACTCCAGACCATTTAACTATAACAAAATCAAATGGTATTTACATATTGTTTCCAATTAACCATTTTTTTTTTTTTTATTGGACTAATGTATCATTAAATTGAGTACTGTCTATTTTAGAAATAGGATTATATTCAACATACGAAGAAGATTCTGATACAGATGATGAAGGACAAAAAAAGTTGACTAGAACTTCTAATTATTTATTCAATAGTAATAGTAGTGGAGATGAAGACAGTGACAGTGAAAATTCCAGTACAAATGAAGATGAAGGATTAGAATTGACACCTGAATGCAATGTGGATTCTTGTAAAAACTTATTTTAATAATTTTTATAACTAAAATTATCATACATTTTATTGTAATAATAAACTTTTAATCACAGTTGGACCACTTGGTCGCGAATCAATAAAATCAAACGATATGGCGATATATATTATCGCATCCACAGAAGACAAACTCAATGTAGTAATTACTCCAAATTTAATTACCGTAATGGATATTATCATGAACGCATTTCAACAAGCTACTAGTGGAATACCAATAGTACTTTCTAGTATGAAGAAATTAAATCTTCAAAACGATATTGGCCATGAGAGCCGAATCGTGCTTTTTATTCCAAAAGAAGTGAATACATTCATCTCAGTTAATATATTTTCAAATAAAACAACTTTTAAGAACATTTTTTTTTATTACAGGAGAATAACAAAAATTCTATTCAAATTATTGCCAGTCAGGATTATCATAATATTAGCCCAGCTGCAAGTATTCCTAGCAGTCCGGAATTGGAGACTCAGTCAGATCTTATAAGTCCACAGTTAGTCGACAATGAAACGGATTTTCCGGATCCAGACATAAATTTACAGAATCACACATTGTCGATGCAAGAAATATTTGAAGAAGATTCTTCAGTCAGTATATACAAGACAATTACTGGTGAAGTCTTGCGTGTTATTTTTAAAGGTATTATCAAGTACAAATATATCACTAAAAAAGTATCTATATCTTTCTTATTATAATCATAGGATTTGAAGATGTGTTGGTATATTGTCCTAAAAAACAAGGATGTAACCTGATTCCACTTCGACCTATTAGACATGAAGTTCGCTATCATTTAATCATAGAAGCTACTATTAACAATTACTTATATCGTACTATCACCGTTCGATCACCTTTACTGGTAAAGTGTGCAATTTTTTATTTATTTCGTTATGATTTTACTTTATGAATATTTTTATTACAGTTTCGAAATGAAACTTCATATGCATTGAGTCTTTATTATAAGAAATCATTACTAGATAAATTGGGACTTACTTGTATTGGCAAACCTACAAATCCTTTTGATGACAACATAAGAATGGCAATCATTGAACCTGATTCAACTTACAGTATTCCTTTATACATAGCTTATCATTTTCCTATATACATACTGCCTGCTTATTTAGAGTAAGTAGAAAATAAATACAATAATAAATTTACTTTAATATTACAAGATAAATTTTATTCTAGGAAATATCAAATAAGTGAAGAGGGGATTTATTGGAAAGAATTAAATGCAACAATGAATGTGATTAAGGATATATGTTGCAAAACGAAAGAAGATGAAACTGTATCTGTATTTTATGTTAAAGTTTCCTGTAAAGAAATTCCAGTGACCACAAGACCAAGTTGTCAAGTACCAAACTATGTAATAAGCATCCATTCCCCTCTTATATTCAACAATCAGCTACCATTCGTTATAGATGTTCATATACCTGCTATTAATTATGAAGTTAAAATTGAACCAGGAGAAAGGATAAATATGCACTCGTTGAATTGTAATATCGATATTCAATTTATTTTTAAGGTATGTATGTTAATATAATAAATCATTGTAACAAAATGTTTATATAAAATTGATTTAATTTTAAATATTTGAAATTTACTGAAGATTCAAAATTATTTGGGTATATATTGGACCGGAATGACAAAATTAAACACAAATTTGGAAAAAAAATTTGTTGTAATGAATACAGATAGTGAGTTAGAATCGACTAAACCATTTTTATTATGCATAGAATTGTGTAAGATTACAAGTTGGCATGTTGTTATTCAGTCCCAATATTGGATGATAAACAAATCTGGATTACCTTTATTCATTCAGGTGAATAATTTATTTTAAAGTGTCACATATATGCATAACGTTTATAATTCGATATTCTCAGGAGTGTCACTCTCATGTAATTAATGAAATACCGGAAGAAGAACTAATGGTATTTTCTCAAAAAAATAATAAGAAAACTACAGTCAGATTAAGAGCACATCAATCTGAATGGTCTTTACCCTTTGGACTGGAAGGAATTACTTCTATGTCATTGATTGTATGCAAAGATATAGAACGAGGAAGAAAGTACAGAATTCTAACAGAAATTGAAAGTTCTCGTCTTTCTCCTAATTTTACCAAGATTATCACATTTCTTCCCTATTTCTACATCAGTAACAAAATGAAAAGAACCCTGAGATTTATGGAAGAAAATGATCAAGCAGATTTGTGGAATGATCTTCTGTCTGGACAAAATATACCATTTTGGCCAGTCACAGAATCAATGAAAATGAGAATAAAATGGAGAAATAGTCAGTTGGTATCGCAACATTTCAGCATTACACACGTGGGAAAAACAGTATTGAGAATGGATAATGGAGTATGTAATTAATTTACTTAAAAAAAATATATATATATTTATATAAAAAGATGTAATTAATATAAAGATATATTTGTTTGTAGTCAGCAGTTAGTGTAGAAATCAAAGGTGGCATTAATTCTCCATATTATATTATATTTCAAAAATACATAACGGGTGATATACCACTAAGAATAGACAATTTTTGTGATGATTTGTTTTTAAAAATTAGTCAATGTAATTTAGGTCAAGTGGTGCTGATAAATCCATTCCGAAGTTTATTGTATACTTGGGATGACCCTACAAAATCTAGGGAACTTATTTGGAATGTATACAATAATAAAAAACCTGGGTATAAAGCAAAATTCGAACAGGTAAAACATAATTTATAATATGCTAAAAAATATAATACAATATGTAATGATTGTTTTCATTCCTAGGATGGATATGGTCAAGAAATTGTACCACTGTTGATTGTTGATAACTGTAATGATGGTATATCTTCCACTTCTTTGATTAAATCTCAAAATAAATCAACGTGTTTGGAAAATAAATTTGAAAATTATAACAATGACAACAACAATTGTAAAGATGATGTAAAATCATCTGTGTTGAAACATACACAAGTAAATAAAACGATAGTTTATTGGGTAAGTTATATGGAGGGAGCCCAACGAATTTTGTTATTCACTCAACAAGAAACTGTGTTTATAAAAGCAAAAAGTATTGTTGATCCTGAATCTAGTAAAAAGGAGATATTTCTTTCTTTTGCTGGTATTGGAATCAGTATTGTAAGTATAGAGTAATGAATTAAAATAACAGTGTAAATATTTTTGTAATCTAATATGATTACAGATAACAAAAGCTAACGAGACCTTAAAAGAATTAGTATATGCTAATGTAACAAATTCTGCAGCTCATTGGGAACTTTACTTCGATAAAAAATGGAAGAGTTTATCATTAGAGTTGAGTGCTTGGATAGAGAGCAAATATGTTAATTCTTGTAAAAAAGCACAATTAGAAAATTTCATTGATGTAAGTTTTTCTATAAACTTTAAATATAACATTTTAAGCACAAGAAACAAATTTTCAGATTGATCTTGTAAAAATGCATATGACCAAACCATTTTTTGGAAAATTAAAAAGAACATATTCTCCGGGAATTTGGTTGCATTGCAGAAAGTCTATGTCACTAACCTATTTACAAGGATATGTTCATAGAATACAGGTATGACGAAAGAATCTTCTTTACTTAACATTAGTTTTTTATGTTATTTAATATTAATTGGTTATTTTTAGGTGGATAATCAAATTCGTAATACTACATTTCCGGTAATTTTGTATTCAAATTTGCAAAAGAGTATTATTAACTATGCTGGAAATCATAAATTGAAACATTGTATAGAATTTACATGTTTGAAACAAAGAAAGCTAAATTATGACATTTACAAGTACGTAATTATTATTAGTATTCTATAATTGTATTACTATAATCAAATATATTTTGTAGGAATGTTTGTATCATAGTTAGAGAATTCGATCTGAATTTACAAGAAGGCTTCCTTCTTTCTTTAATTGATTTAATTCCAAAGAAATCAGAAACTAAGTATTCTATTGCGGCGAAATTAAGGAAGGATATTTCCAGTATTCATATTTTGCCTTCCAATAAAACTGATAATGTACATATATTTTCTTTCTTGTCATTAATATGTTAATATAATTAGAATTCATAATAGTACTTAAATTTCAGAATGCCACTATTAAAAGGAAGAATGTGATAGAACATATGTATATTTCTCCGATCTTAATACGCTTAATATTGTTGGCCGATACAGAAAGACCTAATATTTACAATATTAGTGATATAGCAGATTATACAAATATTCTTCGATTTATTTTTCAATATGCTGAAAAGGGAGGATCTGAAAAGCATGCTGAACTCAGGTATAACAAAATTTAATATAAAAAGGAAATTATTTATAATTAGTTAATTATATATATATTTTAAATATATATACTTTTGTTTTTATTGTAGACTTCCATGTTATGAAAGAAGTTTTGTCACAATTGATACTGATGAACTTTTGTTAGATTTATCACGATCTTATATGGTTCAAATTATGCAACAATTTCATGTTTTAATCCGTTCCACTACTGTCTTAGGCAATCAATGTGGTTACAATTTTAGATCACCTGGAGATAATTTCTATGAACCTAATATGGTAAGTGTAAAGTGAAATTTAAAAAAAAAAAATTTTTTCATTTTATTTATTATACATATACAATTTTATAGTTGATTCTGTGTGGAGATGAAATAGCAGAAAAATTAAGTTACGAAATGGCATGCCAATTGGGCTATGCTACTTTAGATACTACACAAATATCAATCTTTAATTTTAACATTAATACTCATCTAATTCAGTCTAAGGTACGTTAAAAGCAGAAAAAAAAAACAAAACAAAAGAAAAAAAGAAAGAAACAAAATAATTGTAGCCATTTGATATAGAAGTAAATGATAGATAAGCACTTTTTATTTCAGATAAAGGAACCATCTATTCGAAATAAAGATGTACCTCCTCTAAGTCTTTCAATTCGTACTTCCTTTTCTACGGAAATTGAACTAGAAACTTGCAGCTTAGTAACTGCTTTTATTAGTAGTGAGTATAAAGTAATGCTATATTATTAGAAGTAAAAATAGTATTTTAGTATATCATATCCTAATAGTTTATAAGAATATTAAGTGTGTGATAACATTTGTAGGTATTCATCAAGAAGAACTAAAATATTTCTTTAAAATTTTGGGGAAAAAAACGTCAATATTTTTTAATTCGGAAAGTTCCTCTCCAAAAGCATACTCGAAAATAATAATAGATATTATAAAAAGGTAGTAGTGTTAATAAAACATATTTAAATTGAATGAATTAATATTTGCATTTTGCGTTTCAGGGCACAAGAAATAGGTCATAAGTTTATATCACGTATACGTTTACCACGGTATACAAATCCATATAAGGTAAAGTACTATAAGTTCATTATGATGTTATTTATGAATAAAAACATTAAAATAATTGCGACTAATTTTTTTCTTTATTTGTTACTAGGGTGTCGAAATATTCTCGATGCATAAAGCAAAAGGAATGAATCTTCTAAGTATAATTAATAAAAACCCCGGTATCGAAACAGACACATATTGGGCACATACTTCCTTGTCAAACGACGGGAAACATATAGTTCTTGTTTCTCTGCAGTATGTATATAAAAATTATTTTTCCGATTTATAGGATATAGAATATATTTATTCCATATCCTTCTTAATTTATATTTCTTTTATAGACGATTATATTTCATTGAGAAAGGTTGTACTTGGGGTTCCTTAAATGTAAAGTGGACTTTGGAGACACATCAATTACTATCACCTCCAACAGTAGTTGACAACAAACTTATTTTACATGTAAACAAGGTACTTGTTTAGTATATATAAATTCAATGCTTATCCTACTCAGATTTCAATACGATGGATTTATCTTACCTGTAGAATGAAGATACTTTGTCACCCATGGTAGATTGGTACCTGGAGAGTGAAGCAAGAGATATTCTGGAGTGGCTGTGCCAGAAAATAAATATTGCGATGATCTTGAACATGGAGAACAGTACATGTTCAAAGCAAGTCGTATAACTGGAATCCAAGCTATAAAAAAAAGATAATTGTATATTTAAAATAGTCAGGCACAATAAATTCTCTAACAAACGCAATACTTCCTTGTGTTTATATTGAAAACCTATATCTAAAAGCAACATTATCGTTTCTCCTACAAGTACAATGGTTTGTCTCATACTCAACTTTCATATAGTTTAGAAATTCTCTATGTAATAATATCGCGAAATTTAAAATATTCATATACATACATATTTTCATACTCTCATCATTAGTTCCCATAGATCACGAATTTATATATCAGAGAGTCAGACATATCTACATATTATAGTCATTTGGATAAAGTACGTCTAGTTTATTTCATAATTTATTTACAAAAAGTCTTAGTAAATTACACTTACAGGCATCTCCACTCGAACTAAAGTAAATAATTTAAGAACTACACGTATTTAGATATCTATAGAGTAGGATACTTTGGGGTCAGGGAGAAGCTGGGATTAGGGAAAGTGTTCTGTTTTAATGTATTTACCTCATCGCTATTCTTCTTATATTCTTCATTTTTCATTCATCCTTCTCACCTGCTTGTCTCTCAAACAAAGTCGAATCTGATCATTTTCTTTTTTGTTTTACGTACACCACCCTTATGAGAACCGAAACATCGTTCGTTTTATGTATGAAATCCGTTTCTACAAAATGAGAAAAGGAAGTACCGACATAGAGGGTGTATAACGACAAAATTGAATGTAAATTGTCGTTCGTTCTGGCGGACATAAAAAATGAGAGTGGTTTTCTTCTCGTTTTTTTCTTTCATTCCGTTACATTAGATAAATGTATATGCAAGAGTTGTCGAAATATGTGCAAAAAGCTGACAATGGGGGGAATAGTACTCGTTATTTTTTCTGTTTACATTAACATATGCGCTTTGAAAAGCATAAAAGTGTCATGATTATAAATACATCTCATTGGAATCATTTAAATGGCACGATCGAGAGCTTAAATTCGAAAATTGCATATTACTTTCCTCTGCACGTATTTCGTTTTAGTACATTATTGAAAATTTTCTCTCCATTTTTCTCCCTTTCTTCTTTTCGTGCTCTCCCTTTTATTCCTCTTTCCTTCTCTGTATCTCCTATTTTCTCAGTCTTTCACTGTGCTCACTGTCCTCATTCTTCAAAATTGTTATTATACAAATATTGTTTCTCTTGTACTTCTTTCTTACTATATAATATGTGTTCAAATTTGATCATAATGGCATGTAATTATATTTATAGATACATTTATTCCAAAAACAGAAAAACTGCATAAATATTGCTTTTTTAAAGAATTTTCATTTACCTAGAAAAGTGTAAAAGACAGAATGAATCAAAAATAAAAATAAAACAAACCCAAAACATAAAAAAGAAATAATGTGCTAAATACTTTCTCAATAATTTTCATAGAAATGGGATAGCATTTTATATAAGGTACTTAATGTTAAGCTGCCACTTGTCCATCATTTAATATTTTGCTCTCGATCTTATCCGTCTTTGCAACGCGCGAACGCGTATAAATGTGCATACACGCATATATATATATACACGTATATAATGTGTGTACAGTAGTTTTATTTGTTTTGACAGACACTATTCCCCACCCCTTTTTCTACCAGCACCCCCATCCTTGCATGCATACAATCGAGACACTCGTCCGTTCTAACCATCATTACATAGCACACAAATTTTTCTTGATACACGCACGAAGATCAGTAACGCGCGAAGATGTACAAAGCCGCGCGTGCGATCCATTTCTGTCTTCGTTCTTCTCTCTCTCATACTACATGCATACACGTTTAAAAGACGAATCAATTTAAATTGTCATCCACTTATATCCTTCTAACTTTTTATTTGTTCTTTCCCTTTGTCTGTTTTTTTTTCGCCTTTTTACTCATTCATATACAAACATACACACATACACACAGATTTTCATCCACGTTTCATTCAAACTTTCCCTTCTCTTTCTTTCCGACAGTAAAATGGTCACGCTATTGTTCAATCTATCTTTCACTTCCTGTTTTGTTCGTTATTTCTTTCCCAACACTCTTGCGCTCAATCTTTCATACACTAACTCTCGTTGCGTTCATTCATAATCGGTCTTTCTTTTCTCTCGCTCTCTTTTTCTAGCAATGTCTTTCTTCAGTTCTAATTCTGCCTGTGCTTCTAAAGTCGAGACTCTTGGTGGCCTGCTTTTCTCTTATTTTCTTTTTATCTGCAAGGGTGACCACCGTAGGCGTTCGCGTCATGTTGCATGATCTTTCATTATTTTTTCTTTTTCCCTTTGTTACCTCATCACATGACACGACGCAATTCGAATAAGATTCAATGGAAGTGTGTGTTATCTACAAAATATCTTAATTACTCGCTAATTACAGCACAAAACATGCAAATATAAAAATTTGCATTATATTATCGTTAATATTTATATATATAATCGTCACTCGATATTATCGTTCCACATCGCACCATTTTAGGTTCGTCAAAACAGATTTCTTTTTAGTTTTGTTTCAATCGTCATTTACCTCATTCCATTTTTTCTATATATTATTATGCTGCTAAACGTTTGTTTAATTTCTCTCATTTTTTTAACATCTTTGTTTTTTATTTTTATACTCCCTCCCCGTCTTCCCCTCTATCATTACACCCCATTTAATATTTTCACGAGTTCTCGTTTTTTCGTTTCTCGTCTTTTCTCTGTTCACAATTTAGTCCTTTCATTTTCTTTCATCTTCATTAACTATGAAATATCTTACACTATCGATATTATTCCAAATCATGAAGTAGGAAAGGTATACTCGACGCGTGTCCACGCGAATAGCGTCACAGTATACCTTAACTTGCTAACACCGATAATTAACTTTCTTACTTCTCTGGTTTTTTTTTTTTTTTTTTTTTTTTTTTTTTTTTTTTTTTTTTTTTTTTTTTTTTTTTTTTTTTTTTTTTTTTTTTTTTTTGTTATTCGATATAAAACTACAACCACATGGCGTTATATTATATCGACACTTTGTTCCTTTTCTACACACTCTAAATCCCGCGTTTTCTTTTTTTTTCCTTGTCGCTGTTCTCTTTATATAATCTTCTTTTTCGTTCATTCTCACTCCTTTTAACTAACTCTCTAAGATTTTTCACTCTCTATCTCGCTCTCACATTCCCTAAAATGAATAGCAGCAGCAGCAACTTTTGTTTACAAGTTGTCTCTCTGTCTTTCGTTTGAAAACAAAAACTGATCATTAACATCATCATCACTTTTTGCACAATGGGGGCTAAACAAACAAACACCCGCGGGTCAACCAAGAACAAAAAAGAAGAGGAATATACCATTTGTTAATAAAACAAAGTTACGTGCCCCTGGAACACTGGAACAATACACGAGCAACGATAGCGGCCACTTGCTGATCTAAAATTTGACTCATCACCAAGGCGAGTAACCGTGATTCGTGTTGTAATAGCAGAGTTCTGTTATCAGGATGCCTGGCGAGGTTCAACAGCGTGCCGGCTGCGCGTCGCAGCATGTCCAAACTGGTGCCCATTGATTCGGGATTATCACGTAGTGCAGCCAATCCGTGTTGATTTGCAACTCCTAATGCACTCGATTCTGCTTGCTCGATGAATGCCACTAATAGCGCCACACAGGGTGTCTGTAGAGCAATCGTACGAGCTACACCGCTGTCTGCTGCAGATAGGAAGTGGAGCAGATTTACGCCGAACTCGCGAAGTACTTGCTCCTCACTTCGGCAAAGTAACCTGGTCAATACAGAGCAGAGTCTCTGGAGTCTCGAGTACGGAGGTGTTGCGACCACGAGGTCCACATTGCATTCCGTTACGCAAAGCTTGCACAAAGCCTCCAGTGCTAGTCGTTGTGGCGATAAAGAAGAATTTGGACCAACTGTGGGAAAAGGATCTTGTCCATGAGCCGCCGGACACACTGCCCAATGCAGAAGGCCATCCAATACCGGCCGAGATATTTCTTCTGGGTGTTGACTTAGATCCATGTGACCGGCTATGTTTGCAGCCATAACGAGGACGTTTTCTCTGATGTGATGCAAGAAATCCCACCACCACTCACTCTCCCCTTGTAAACTACTACAAGAGTCCGCAAAGTCTGCATCTTCTTCGCGATCGTAGTTTCGCGTCTTCTGCGTCCTTACCGGGTGCTCATGATGCAGTAACAACAACTTACCGAGAAGACTCAAAAACGTAACGTTTTTGGCGAATTCAGCTTCGTTGCCTGGAATAAATGTGAGATTCCTTAGAATTGTAGACAAACAAACGCAACGTCGAGCCAGATTATCTTGTGTCTCTGTAATAAGGTACAAACTCGCTTCATCCCTCGAATAACTTTCATCCTCGTAATCGCTTATTCGTCTTCTTTTCAATGTACCTGCTGGATCTCTTATTTTTAATTTTGGTCCCTCCTTATTATCATCTTTTGTAACTGATTCTTGTTCCTCGCTCTCCATTTTAATCTCATTTTTTTCCATCTCGACGTTGTTCGTCGCATCATTCAAACCGTTTTGAGTCGGCATAAGTTCCTCTTCAGACTTTTGTATATCTGCAAAGTGCTCACCCATATTGTTATTCACCTTTGCTTCGGTGTCACATTCTTTCTTAAACCCATCGTTCTTTTTTTCGAACAATTCTCTGGTAAGATCATTCATCTCGACTGGTTCCTTTTTAATCCTTGACAAAACATCACTCAAGGTCTTTGTCTTTTTCTTTTTGTCCAGCTGCTTCTTTTCGTTTATTTCTTTTGGCTTTTCCCCGAGTTCGATCGTTTTTTGAGAAAATTCTGATGCTTCGAATGTACCAGGATCTGCTTTGGTTTCATCTTTCGAGTCTGTACACTCTACCTCCTTTTGTAGTAGTGGTGGTTTCTCGTCTCGAAGGAGACGCGCGAATGGTACGGATCCTATTTCAGATTGAAAACACGTCACTATATACTTCGTGGTATTATTATCGACTTGCCAGGGTTCAGTTTCGGATTCACATTCTTGATGATCCCAAGACCTCCTTGTGTCTAGAACAAATAAATCGTCATCTCTTGGAACAATCTTTACTGGACGACCCCTTCTGGACAAAAATGTATAATTCGACGATGAAAGCAATTTTGTTCGATCT